TGAATTACAAAGAAATGGTGAATATTCTCAATTTAAAAAATCCAACACTGTAAAGTTACGCCAAATATAGCAAAAGGACATACATAGGAAGTTACAGACTTAAAAGCCACAAGACAAGCATGAGCACACAGGATTTCACACGCCCGCGGTCTCCTGGTTTTCCAAAATCATGTCAAAATTTCATGGCATGGAAGGTTAGATAGCTGAAAATAGATCAAAAAAATTGCTTTCGCTCAGAAATATCATCAAAACTGCTCAAAATGTCTTTGCTGGGACAAAGTTAAGGTTGTAGGTTGTAAAGAACAAGTTTCAGAAAAAATATTAGCTCAATCAGTACTCGTAGCCACTTTCATGTACTATCGCAGAAGTTTTCTAAACAATCCAATGGATACGCATAACATAACTCGAAAATATAAAATATATAAAAAAAAAAATCAAACAAACAAACAAAAAGTTGGGCAACAGCATAAAAAAATCAACTAATTTCTGGAATCTTACACATGAGAAAACAAGGGGGGGGGGGGGGAAGAGTTGCAAAGATATCAAGTAGACACTACAGTCTACAGACTAGTTTTTCCCCTGGGCCTGAAAAAAGAGTTGAGCGAATAGCAAAAGAAGATCTCTATGTCTAGGCAACTCCACCCACACAAAGGGTAGCATACAATTCTTGAAATTTCCAACTCCATATGCCAACATAAATCGGAAGACTGTTGACTTAAAGAAGAATAAGAATAACCAAAAAAAAAAAAAAAAAGATGATGCCGTTGGAGTATAGCTGTTCATCACAAATGCAGGAGAAAAACAATCGAAAGCACAAAGATGGAACCCCGAATATTCAGTTACTACACCTGAGCACAATTAAGACCAATTCTTTGACAATGAGGTTTCTACCTTTCTACACTGACACCCTCAAGCAAATAACTCAGTAAAGCAAGATTCATAGTGTCGGTTTCCATCACTTTCCCGGGGAAAACAAATGGAAATTACAGATCAAAGTAAAATGGAACTTGCAGTACCTGGTGGCGTTGCAAAATCAACAGGGCAGGCCTCCGGCAACCACAGTGGCGCGCAGAGCCCAGAGCTACCGCATCTCCGATGGCCAGCTGGAGGAATAAATCGGCGAGGAATTAAAGACGAATTAAAACTTGAAAAGAAAAAAAATTTTAGATGTGCAAAAAATAAATAATTATCAGGAAGATACGGATAGTGACCATTGGCGCATGATAGCGATGGGACTCCATTTTTTTCTTTTTCTTTTGTTTTGTTTTGTTTTTTTTTTTTTTTGATCGGATGCAGAAATTTTATACTCCATTCTCATTATCCTTTATCGTTTTTTTATTGTTTATTTAACACATATTTAATATGTTTTACTGAATTTAAATGATACTAAGATTGATAATTTGTTGGCATATGATTATTACATTATGATATCATTCTTAATGTTTTAAAATTAAATGTGTCTAAAACTCTAAAAATTAAATTATTAATTTAAATATTCGAAATGTATATAGATTGATTATAATTGATTTTTATACTTTATATATAAAAATATCATAATAAAATGCAAATAAATAGTTAAAAAAAAAGTTATCTCATAGGTCCCGTTTGGTATGAAGCATTGAAAATGAGGGATTGAGATTGGGATTGCAATTGAAAAAAATCATTAAAATAATACTTAGCATGAGTAATTGTTTGTCATATGGGATTAGACAAACTCATAAAGGTGGGATTGGAGAATACCACTTCCCCCCATGGTATTCTCTAATCCCACATACATGGCTTTGGCTAATCCCATATATCAAACAATTTCTTATACTAAACACTCTCTTAATAGATTTTTTCAATTGTAATATCAATCTCAATCCCTCATTTTCAATGCTCCCTACCAAACGTAACCATAGAGTAATGGGGATGTAATGTCCTTTTTCGCTGACCAAATCATACAATTTTGTTGGGTCACCCTCATAATTTTAAGGTAGTCCTTCTCTGTTTTCTTACTTCATAATTCATACTTTCTAATCATCTTAATGTTACTTCTTAATTTCCATTTCAGCGGAAAGTTTAGTGAAGTTTTCATCTCCACCTGGGGGATTAAAATAGACTATGGTCTATCAAGGGCCGAATATGACTTAGCCTGGTTAAAAGCTACGCTTTTAAATTTAAAGCCTCCTCTAAAAGCCTATAGACCTGGCCTGAATAATCTTTTAAAATTATTTTATTAATACATATAAATATATGTAGGTTTTTTTTTTTTGATGGAAAAGGAAAAAGAACTACTACATAACAGCACCCACTAAAGCCTGACCCTGGATAGCTTCTCGCTGAAGAATGTCTCGTATGGGATCAAGGGGACTACAAAACGTAGCAAAATCAACCCCCATATGGCGTGCTTGTGCAGCCAAAGCATCTGCTACCGTGTTCGAGTCTCGCGAGCAAACAGCCACTTCAACCTCCCAGTTTCGACTCATCATCTGTTGGATTTCAGTCAGGACGCTGTGGTCCGGGTGTTCTGCGGGAATATGAGAATGAACAAGGGATACTAGCTCGGTGCAGTCACACTCAACGATCAAGTGACGCAAGTTGCTGTCCCATGCAAGCTTCAGAGCCCACAAAAGACCCCAAGCCTCCGCTGTGATGATTGAGCCCCGACCAACCTTATACATGAAGCCTTTCATAAAAGTGCCATTATGGTCACGGAAGACGCCCCCACAGGTGCAAAGGCTAGAGTCTAAGTGACGAGAACCATCCACGTTAATCTTCACCATATCTAAAGGTGGTGGTTTCCAGATGGGCTGCAAATACATCCCCGATCGTTGCTGTAGCGGGTTCTGGTTGCCCCAAGATAGGCAAGCCTGGGTTCGTGCAATAAGAGTCTCGACACTCCAACGTAAATCACTGAAGATTCGACCATTCCTACTCAGCCATAAGTTCCGACAAACTATAGGAAACCAGAGCCTGAAGTCATACCCGTGAACTTGGAAGTAGCTACAAGTGCACCACGTGAGCCAAGCCGAAAGATCAGAACCAGCAAAGAATTTACTTCTCCATTCATGGGGCAAGATAGCTTGCCAGACTTGCATGCTCTGCTAACAGTCACGAAGAACATGTAAAACAGTCTCTTGCTTGCCTTCACACAAGTCGCATTCCCCAGTGGGATGTAGTCCTAGCTTGGATCTTGACAGATTAGTGAACAACCTTCCCTGGGCGCATAACCACAGGAAGACTCGACACCTTTGTGGAACACGTAGCTTCCATATATGTTTGCAGAGGGTGTTGTTAATGGTGACCTTCCTCCCAGCAATTTGGTTATAGGCTGTCTTCAAAGAAAAAGCCCCAGAGGAAGACCAGCGCCAAACGGGGTAGTCATCACGTCCAGCGGAGGTAACGTGCATGCCATGTATAGCCTGAAGGACATTCTGAGGCAATAAATGGGCAAACTTCGGCCAATCCCAGGTCCCTGAAGCCGTAACGCAGTCACTCACCTTCTAGGTTAGAGCCTCTTGTGGGAGAGTATCTATAGCATAGCCTTCGAGGGCGTCCAAATGGGGTAACCAGAGGTCCTTCCAAAAGAGAATGCGACGACCATTCATCACCCTCCAAGCCAGTCCATTTTTAACTTCTTGCCAGCAAGACCGAATGCCCTTCCACGTTCTTGACTCCAACCTACGTTTTTCTACGTTGGGAATTAGATCATTTCCAGTCTTGTATTTCTCCTTTAAGAACTTCACCCAAAGTGAGTCATTACGAGATAACAGTCCCCACCCCAACTTCATCATATACGCTCTGTTCGTTAATTTTGCTTGCTTTAAACCCAGTCCACCATCTTCCTTCCTGTTGCAAATGGTGTCCCAAGACACAAGGTGAATTTTCCGTGCTGTAGTATTGGAGCCCCATAGGAACTTTCTGCAACGTTTGTCAATTGCTGTGCAAGTAGCGCTTGGCAGGGGAGTTGTTTGCATCGCATAGGTGGGGATAGTGGCTACCACCGACGATACTAACGTATGTCTCCCTGCTAGAGATAATGTATTGGCCTTCCAACTCGATAACCGAGCATCCATCTTGTCAAGGATGAATTTATAAGTTGCTGTAGATACCTTCTTGTGTAGAATGGGCATACCCAGATATTTTCCTAGATCAGATGAAGGTGAAAAGTTCAAAAAGTCACTGATCTCCGTGCGCCGTGTATGGTTGACGTTGTTGGAGAAAAAAATCCTAGATTTAGCTGCATTGATTTTTTGTCCAGAGATCTCACAAAAATCATCAAGAATGGCCTTAATGACTCCTGCTTGCTCCATATCTGCTCTTGCAAACAGAATTAAATCATCAGCAAAAAATAAATGAGATACAGGAGTACCTTTCTTGCTAAGTCTAAAAGGTTGCCAGTCTCCATCGTGAATTGCAGTTTGAATAAGATGGCCCAATCTTTCAATGACGAGGACAAAGAGGTATGGGGATAAAGGATCCCCTTGCCTAACTCCGCGAGACGGGCTAAACTCTTCAGTAGTAGACCCATTACAAAGAATTCTCATATAAGAAGAAGAGACGCATTCCTGTATAACCCGGTTCAAGTTCTCTGGGAAATTCAGCTCCTTCAAGCAGTCAAAAATAAATGACCAGCGAACTCTGTCATAAGCCTTCTCAAGATCAATTTTTATGGCCATAAATCCCTGTTTTTTCTTCATGGTGCGCATAGAGTGGATGATTTCCTGAGCGAGAATAATGTTATCAGAGCTTTGTCTTCCGCTCACGAAGCTACACTGATTTGGAGCCACCACTAGAGGCATGATAGGCTTCAATCTGTTGGAAATAACCTTCGTTACAAGCTTGTAAATTACATTACATAAGCTGATTGGCCGGAAATCTCGTATTGTCTCAGGATGATCTACTTTAGGAATCAACACAATGTGGGTACCATTAATTTCTCGTACAAGACTCGGTTCTAGAAATATTCGCTTCACCAGATGGACAACATCTCCTCCTACCGTATCCCATTGACTTTGTTAGAAGAGAGGATTTAGGCCATCGGGCCCAGGGGACTTCAGTGGGCCCATATCAAAAAGAGCTCGCTTGACTTCTGTATCCTCCACCTCTTTCCCCAAGGTATTAATATGCACAGCATCTATAGTTGGATATTTCATCCCAAACTCAAGAGACGGTGACCCTTCTCCATTCTCTGTGTATAACGCCTTGAAAAAATGACATCCCATATCCATGATTTCCTTGAGGTCGTAGGACCAAATGCCTGATTCTAGTCTCAAGGCCTCTATACGGTTCCGTTTTCGCCTGCTGGTCGCTCTTATGTGGAAATAACGTGAATTGCGATCACCCTGCAGAAACCATTGTGCTCGAGAGTATTGCTGCCACATTAATTCTTCCTTCGAGAGTATTTTCTCCAACTCATACCAAAGTTCCTTCTGAATCCTTTCTAAGTTTTCGGGTAAACCAGACAAGGCAGATTTGCGCGAAAGGCCTTCTAATCTTCTATAAAGTTTTCCTTTGGTGCGTTGAACATGTCCGAAGACCTGTACATTCCACCGAGATAAAGCAGCCTTGAAGTCATGGACGTCTGAGTTCCAGTCCCCCTTCATTGCCCAATTGTCTTTAACAAAGTTCCCAAACTCCTCGTGAAGGACCCAAGGGGCAAAAAAGCGAAAGGGCCGCTCATTGGGTGAGACCGAGGCAACTTTCTTAGTTCTGAGTAAAAGTGGGCAGTGATCCGATTTGAACTTTGGAAGGTGGATAACCGAAGCATCCGGGAAACATTCAGTCCATAAGTCATTGACAAGAATTCTATCTATTCTACTCTGGCTTGACCCTCTCCCCCAAGTAAAGTGAGGTCCGGAAAACCCAATATCAAGCAAGCTGCTAGCAGTGATCCAATCTTGGAATTGTCTCTCTACTCTACCGTTCATGCCTGTGCGAAGCCCAGAGCGGTCATCACGGTGAGGAACCGCATTAAAATCCCCTCCCACTACCCATTTGCCATTCATGGACCTTTGAATAGAGGAGAGTGACTCCCAGAGACCTCTGCGGAGGATGGCATTTGGGTGCCCATATACTAATGTAAGAAACCAATCCTCATTACTGCCGTCTTTCACCAGGCCATGCACGAACTGCTCTCCTGCTGATAATACAGAGAAGTGTATTTTATCTTCCCAAAAAAGCCATATGCCACCACTAAAACCCCTTGCTTCCACCACGTACATATTGGACCACCCAAGCTTCTGGGCTATTAATTCAGCTCTATCCCCTGCTTGTCTAGGTTCCATGAGAGCCAAGCACGTCAATTTATATCTCAGTTTCAAGTCCTGAAGAAGGCGACGAAATGAGGGCCCACCTGCACCTCGAGAATTCCAGATCATCAGATTCATTATAACAAGTAAGATAGAAGGGGAACAAGTCCGACAGAGGGTGTCCTACAACTCGGCAGTCGTGCGTGAAGTTTCTCCACCCACAAGCATCTCCACGTCGTTATCATCAACAAGTGGGTTTGAGTGTATGAAAATAACCGGTCCCTCCACAGCGCCTGGGTCTATCGGATTCGAAGCAGCACTCTTAATAGCCAAGATAGACGAAGTTGGAAGAACATAGTCTCGTGGGGGTTCGTTGAGTGCTACAATCCGGTGATCTGTATATTTATTCTCCATTGAAATGTTCATGTCAGACTGCTTGCTATGATGGGGGGCCTCAACATTCGATATCTGACTGGTGGAGGCCTGATTAGGAGGGCCCTGTTGATCCATCTTATTTTTAATAGACATGTAGGCTTCCATTGGGCTAACTACTGAATTTCTTCGGCCCACACCCACGGTTTTGAGCCCGCTTTTTTGTACTCCCAGCTTCTTCTTTTTTTGCCATTCCAGCTCATTGCCAATATTACGGATTTTGTAGTGCCTTTTAACCTCCGACTCCTTAAAGATACTACTATTGCGAGAATCTCGGTCCAAATCCTGCTCCGGATTGCTCTTTTCCAACTGACCAGAATCTTCTCCGATATTGTCAGTTAGCACCGTAAACCGTGAACCACCATTAATCTCTTTTGATTTTCCGCGATATTCACGTCGTGAATCACGCCCATGATCCTCACCTACTGCCTGTTGGGGCCGTTGGGGCCGTCTCCGCCGTGGGGCTACCATCCAGTCGCCGAAGTTCGTCTCCTGAGGATTCTTTAACGCTGGTGTAACTCCCTCATTGCCCAGTGTAGAGTTTGACTCTGTCCCTTCCGATGAAGTTGGTGGCTTCTGAGAATGACTGGTGCAGTGATCAGAATCATGTCCGTATCTGCCGCAACTAAAACATATGGAGTGTAACCCCTCATATACGACTTTCTTCTCCTTCCCATTGATGAGGATCGACGGCAGAAGCGGCACTGTAAGATCCAGTTCAACACATATACGAGCAAAGCGTCCCTTAACGTGTCAGAGGGTGTTTCTATCCACCTTGAGGACTCTTCCTATTTGGCTTCCCACGACATGCAAGATACCCGGTTCATAGTAGTCTACTGGAAACTTTGGAATTCTGATCCAAGCAGCAATCTTCGTGACCTCACTTGCATCTGGATCAAAGTCTGGTTGCCAAGGTTGGATAGCGAGGTAGTGGTCAAAAATCATCCAAGGACCCTCTGTAAGAGCGAATTCGTAGTCCTGTTCGTTACTCAGACGAACAAGAAAGAAACCAGATCCTATCTCCAAGGTTTCTACTTCACCGTGACGACCCCATAACTGTTGCAACTTATTTCCAAGGTAGTCCTCGCGGACCATACGGCCCAGCAAGCGAACGAACAACGACGTTGCCCACTTTGAAGCCAGTTGCTTCTGGTACTCCGGTAGGATAATAACATTAGGACCCTTCTCCGTTTGTTCCACTCTCAGACGTGATTTCCATCCATCCCCAGTCCACCAGTCCTCATCCTCTACAGGGTCCTTGGCCAAAGTGTTTCTCGCACAAGCTTCCTTATACGACTGCCGTGGCAGATCCGCAATCTCGGGGTTAACCACATTCTCATCAGTCATCCAATCCTCTACCCTAGGGACTGCCGAGCGATCAGTGACAAGCACCGTATTACCCATCCTCACCTTCTTGCGATTACGAGCCAGAACGTCGGCCTCCTCCTTTGAGACGGCCACAGCAAGAGGGGTTTCCTCCATGGCGATTACCTTTAATATATGTAGGTTTTTAAGTGTATCAAAAGCCTACATTTGTGTAGATTTAGAATCCGTTCGGATCAACGATTGGAAAAGTAGCTTATTAGAAAAGTAGCTGATGAAAAATTGAAGTTAGTAAAAACTAAATTGAATAAGTTGATTGTGTTTGGGTTTGAGTTTAGAAAAGCTAGTTTGCAAAAGTGAGATTAATAAAAGGTTGTCTGGATTATAGTTGAATAAAAGTAAGTTTGGTTATAAAATAACCAAAATATGTATGAGTTTTAATAAATAATGAAACATGATAAAAAAAAATAATTTCACATAATACAACGAAATTAAAATAACTTAATATGAAGAAGTCAAATTTACTGAGTAAATTAAATTTTAAAATTTTAGAGAAATCATAAAAAATATTTTAAATATAAAGTGAAACATGAAAAAAAAAAAAGATAATATAATGAATTTAAATTAATCTAATATGAAGAAGTGAAATTTAATAAGTGAATTAAATTTAAAAACATCAGAGAAATAAAAAAATATTGCAAATATAAAGCAAAACATAATTTGAATAGATAAAAATGTTTTGAACTCCAATTCATTGTATTGTGACGAGGTGAAATGAAATAATATTACATAATTAATTAACTAATAAACTATAGATAATTTGGTATCTGATTGCATCATGGATGCGATTCATATGCGATGAAAATTGTGATATAATATTTGAAGACGATGGTTGACTAGTTTCAGCCTGATCATATTCGCCAACTATATTACCATTTTTAGCTTCTACAGAAAAGGTGTCATGTTTGATTATAAATATAAAATCTTAATTCATTTTGTTTTCAATATTTATCTATTTTGCCCGTAAGTGATTACACATGTTAATGCACACGATTTGTGGGAGTATTTTATAAAAAATAATATCCATTTATTACATATAATTAATTAAATTAATTTTTTTAATATTTACAAATTAGTTATATTTTGTACTTGAAAAAAGATAAGTCTAAGTTTGAATATAAGTAAGATAGTATAATGTAATTTAAGATAAATTATTTTAAAGAGTGGGACCCAACTTTTTTCATCTTCTCTCTCTACTTCTTAAAAGTGATAAGCTCTAAATTTTAGCTTATGACTTATAGTGGCTTTTTATTCAGAAGCTAAATTGTTTTTAAGCCATAACAAACACTTCCAGCTTCTTTCAATCTGCTCTATCGCGCATTTTGACCCAATAAGCTACTTTTTGTCCATGGAAACACTAAAACAAATAGGCACTTAGTAGGCTCAAAGCTTATTTACAACCTTCAAAACTAGAAAATGTGAGATCTTTTAAAAGACCTACATTGTAAGTAGATCTTTAAAAACATTTCAGGCCTGCAAGGCTTTTCAAAAGCTCAAGGTTGAGCTAAAAACACACGCACGCACGCACGCACGCACACACACACGTACACACACACACACAGAGGCTCAGACTCAGGCTCAAGATCAGACTTTAAACTCTCATTACAGGCTTAAGCCTATTTGACCAAAACTTGGCCTTGTGTGGCTTATTTTCATCCCTATTTACCTTAACAATAAAAAAAAGGAATTCATGCCAAACAAGAATATCAACAACTAGCTTACCCAGAAAAAAAATATCAACAACTACTACTATTACTCTAATGGAGTAAAATACACCAATCACCATTCTATTTTATCTCAATTATAAAAAAATTCCTTTCATTTTACATATATATACATATAAACCTCCTTTAAAATTAAAAATTATGTTACACAGATAGCCCTTCTATGTTTAAGATTCCATTTCCATCTATCCAAACCGTTAATTAACTGTTAAATTTGACTTTAAATTACTTTTTGACCAAAATGCTCATCTTTAACATAATAATTATTTAGACCTTTATATTTTTCAAAATATTTTTTATAAAATCAAAAAATAATTTTAATACACATATTTTTAAAATTCCTAATGTTATAAAATTTACTAATTTTGATTTAAATCATAAAATTTTATAATTTTAATTTTTTATTACATTCATTAAAGTTATTTACTTTGATTTTTTTGAAATTGTAAAAACATATTTCAAATACATAGTATTTGTTTATCATAAAATTTAAATGATATAAATTATTTAAATTTATAATTCAAAACTTTTAAACACATTTTTGTTACAAAAGTTTATAAACATATTTAATCAAGTATATATATTTATTGAAAATATTAGTTAAAATTTTAATTAGGTCTTTTATATTTGTCTTAACTAAATGAAATTTATGTAACTGTAAAAATGTAATTTAGGAATTTATTGGAATGAGGGATAAAATGGTAAATAAAATAAAATAAATTTCATTTGAGAAGAATATTTCAGAATTTTGTTTAGAATATTTTGATGGGATTAAACTGTATGTTTTTAAAATAAAAAGGACGTCTGTGTAATTGATACAAACTATAAGGTAATAAGAATATTTTACTCAATAATAATAATAATAATAGTAGTAGTAGTAGTAGTGAAAAATTAATTCGTAATGGTTATAGTGTTTTTTTTTTTTGGCTATATAAATGCTTATAGTTGACCTCAACTTTGAATCATATTCTTGTAGATTATTTTGTTTGAATCAGGTTCTTATAACTTGATTTGTTATGGATATTCGAAAAGCCTATAGATGAAAATTTTTTGTCAATAATAAGGATCCAAATTAAGTAAAATAAATTACAGGGAATCTTACTTAAAATTGAGGTAAATTATAAAGATTTATAGGTTAATTTTCTTTGATGTAGATGATGATAATAAGAAAAATTTAAATACAAGGAAATAAACTATAAGTAATGTTAATAATTATAATATGAAAATTAAAAAGAAAAATTCTCTTAAAAAAAAAGAAATCACTATAAAAATATGTTGTCATTTGTTTTTTAAGTATAATCAATTATTATTAAAGTATAATAAATAAGATTAATTTGAAATTTTGAAATTTAAAAGTATTTTTTGAGAGATTTTCTCAATTAAAAATTCAGTTAAATAGAGTTAGCGTCAATTAAGATCAATAATTGAATTGAAACCGACCAAAACAAATTGTCGAGGACAGCAACAACAAAGAGGAGTGGGCCCTGAAAATAGATTGGAAAATGAAAGGGGGGAAGTTCCAATGTGAAAACCCTCTTTGTGGGTTCAAATGATGATTACGTGGGAGTTGGGACCATACCTAAAGGCCATGCTTGTTGGATCAATGATTGCGTAGTCGAAAAGTCAATACGGTGTCGTCCCATCAATTTCCTTTCAGACAAATTGGAAGAAAATAATAAGAGAAAATGTTGGAAGAAGAACTTTAAATTATCAAAACAAGTGCTAAATTTACATACTTTTGCTAAATAACTAATCTGTGCATGTTAAAAAGTTTAGTTAAATACATTATTTATAATAAATAAATACTCATCTGTTCCTTAATATAAGACATATTTAACTAATTTGATTAGATTAAAGAGGTTAAGTAAATTAGTTAATTATAACAAATATGACATGTTTTTCCTAAAACACCATAATTATCTTTCTTAATATCCTCTATTATTTACTTATTTGATTATGGTTGAAGAAGTATCTATAGAGGTAATTTAGAAAAAATTAATAAATATGAGAAATAGATCTTATATTTAGGATCAAAATTAACTTAACAATCAGGTCCTATATTAAGGATTAGAAGAGTATTACTTTTCTTAAAATACTTCTATTAATTATATATATTGACACTATCCTTTAAGCTTTTTAATTTGTGCAAGTATTATAGAAATTACTTAGAGACAAAATAAATAAATATTAGAAACAAAGTAAATAAAAATTTTATAATTAAATTTCTAAATAATTCTTATATTAATAACCAAGGCAATAATTCCAATTCGTTGAAATACCTAACTGGGATTTTAGTACTTAGCCAAACAGATGAAAATGCCTCTCCCTTGAGGGGAGGAAAAAAGAATTACATCAACCAGCCATCTTGTCGAGGACTTGCGACTCCCCAATGGTTTTTTGTTTTTTTTGACCCAAGGGAGCTCCCCAATGGCTAATGGCTAGTAGGAGTGAGCAAAACCGAACCGTAACCGAAAACCGAACCGAACCGAACCGAATTTAATTTCGGTTTTTCGGTTCGGTTATTTCAGTTTTCGGTTACATATTCATTTTTTATTTTTGTCATAATTTGGTTTCGGTGTTCGGTTCGATTAGTAAAAAAAATCAGTTATAACTGAAAAAACCAAAATGAATATATTATATATTTATATTTAATAAATATTATTATAATAAATATATATGGGTTTATGTGAACTCTTTAAATATATATATTCAATAAATATGGTTATAATAAATATTATTGTAATAAATCACATTAAATGATGAAATATTTATTAATTAATGATTGTAATTGTGTTTTATTATTATTATTATTATTAATTTAAAATTATTTCGGTTAATCAGTTAACCGAACCGAAATAATTCGGTTAATTCGGTTTCGGTTAGTTTGGTTATCAATTTTGGTTCAGTGTTTAAAATTTGTTTTATTCGGTTATTTGGTTAATTCAGTTATCACCGATAACTGAACTGAAAAACCAAATACTCACCCCTAATGGCTAGCCTCCGCCTTAACTCCCCACCACCTCTTGAATCCCAAAAAAATTTATAACTATTGAGTATTGCACTACCAAACTGTTTTGATAAAAAATTATTTCTCTAGTTCTATTTATAAATCACTTTCAATATGTTTTATATAAGCCAAAAAAATTTTTAAACTTTATTAACTCTTATTTAAAATTCAACAACTTTCCAACTTTATTCCTATTTAATATATATTATACCTCATATAAATAAAGTCAACACGATAATAAATGAATGGTGAAATTATATATCCATACAAAAAATTTCTCTCGATATCCTATAAATAAGACCAAAAAAATCTTCTCTCTTTGACATATAAATGGGACCAGAAGAGTATAAAAAAAATTAAATATAATGAATGGTGAAGAGTTTAGCTTAAGGATACTACTCTTTCAATCTTTAATTTATGACATAATTAGAGAGTTGATATTAGTACTACATGTAAGACACATGTCATATATTTATTAATTTTTTTTCAAATTAATCCTATTAATATTCTTCTAACAATAATCAAGTAGGAGAGAAAATGAGAGAATTAAGAAAAATATTTAGAGTGTTTTAGAGAAAAAAATATATCATATTAATTAATTTAACTAGCATGATTAATCTGCTTGAATTAGTTCATTAAGCCTTACATTAAGAACTAGAAGAGTATATTTAAATAGGAATTGACTACACTTGTAATTTTCACCAATTTACTGTAGGAATTTACAACATTTTTTCCCTATCTTGCACTTATTAAAATGAAGGATAAATGATCTAGCTTAAGAACATTTACTACACTCAATATAGAATTAACTACACTTATAGTGATTTTTAGCAGTATATCATATGGATTTACAATACTTTTTTTCCCACATTTGTCAAAAATTTATTATTTAAGAGTATTAAATTGGTCTCTTTGGCAATCTGATGAATGGGCTTACTACTAGAGAGGGATCTATGCAAAGAAGCTGAGAAAGTAGAGAAGTAAGCATATTACTTGGCCCAATAAGCATGCAAATTCAAGGGATTTAGGAGGATACATTCATGATGATTAATAATGGGAATGATATTTCCTCTGCAAATAGATGATAAATCTCACATCCCCTTCTGGGATTTGAAAATATATAATATCAAAATATAACCTTTCAATTTTCCTAATCTATTATGTTGGAAATTGTGTGGGTGTGTCAAAAGGACAAGTCCCACATTGCTCAAGAGAGTGAAAGCACAAGTCCATAAATACAAGCTTGTGTTCTTGGGCTAGTGAATGGGCCTAGAGGAGAACGAGGATCTCGCGCGCACAAGCATGGGCCGCTGGAGGCAAACGCAGTGCAAATCCGACAATCCCCCCTGCGCGTGAGTTAAAGGCAAATTGGGCACCTTTTAGTCAGAGGCATTTTGGAAAATCCAGAAATGATTTAAGCCTACCTAAGAACCATGATTTTATTACATTTGATTTTTGAAAGCCTACCGTTTGGTTCTTTAAACTCCATCAATATGGCTTAACGGATTTTTATTTGTGTAATGTTTAAGTTAATTACTAGTAACGCTCAAAACGTATATGCTACTCAGTTTTATTGCTGTAACGTTTGAGTTAATTACCAGTAACGCTCAAAACGTATACGTTACTCAGTTTTATTGCTGTAACGTTTGTAACCGATGTTTTAATCACCATTAACGTGGTTAATTAAGGGCCCAACGTCTCTTGATTCGAGGCCTATATAAGGCACAGTTTGCATGAGGTTCAAGCATCCTGTACTTGAGCTTTCGTGCATCTCTTCTCCCTCCTCTAGAATTCTTTTTGCCTCGCTGGATCTATATCTTCTCTTTTGCTATTCTGTTCACCCTGTTCTTGCAGGAGGAGTCCGTTTAATCTTGGGAAGTGCTGCTTCCTCACTTGCCGGTGGTGGCAGAATAGCTCTTAAGGACAGCATTCGCAGGACGTGACTCAGACTAATAGTTTTCTGCAGGTGCTGTCACCTACAATCTTAAGAGCTACTCCCTCCGTTCCTTATTATAAGAGACATTGATGCTTATGGCATGTTCCCATATATAAGAGACACTTAAAAGTTGTCTATATTTTTTGGTATTGGTTCCCTATTTTACCCCTATTTATTTTGTCTCCAACTCATATTCCCTCTCCCTCCCACTTCTCTTTCTTTTAATAATTTAATTATTCTCTCTCATACTCTCTCTCCTTATTAATGGGGGCATTGTTGGAAAAAAACATTATACTTTTTATATATTAATTGTTCTCAACTAATTTTAACTGTTTTTTTTATCAACGTAATTTGGTTATTTGTCTCTTATAATAAGGAACGGAGAGAGTATTTTACATCATGGAGCAACCTCGCAACGCTGCTGGTCAGAATGACAATGATGCTGTCCCAGTCACTATTGTCCCAGCAGCAGTACCTATTCCTAGGCCGTTCCCCGATACGTCTAAAATAGAAACATTTGACAGAAGGAACTTCAGGCTGTGGCAGGAGCGAATTTACTCCGTCCTTGATATGCATGGAGTGGCTGCTGCTCTTACTTAGTCTGAACCAGCCCCAGATGCTGATCAAACCCATAAAGATATTTGGACACATGCTAATAAGGTTTGTAGACACACTCTCATCAGTACTTTATCTAACGACCTGTTTGTTGTGTATTGTGTCTATAAGGAAGCACATAAGATATGGGAGTCTCTTATCCTTAAGTACACTGCTGAGGATGCTGGTAAGCAGAAATTTGTGGTGGGGAACTTCTACAAATGGGAGATGACCGAAGAGAAAGACATCAAGCTGCAAATCAACGAGTACCACAAGTTGTTGGAGGAGCTGCGTGCTGAGAAGATTAACCTGCCAGATGAGTTCGTAGCTGGCATACTGATCGAGAAGCTGCCAGAAACGTGGAGTGACTACAAACAGCAGTTAAAGCACAAACAGAAGCAGCTGTCCCTATCAGATCTTATTACCCACATAATAATTGAAGACATAAACAGAAAGGCCATACAAGCCGTAAAGGGAAAAGAAATAGTTGCCAAAGCAAACTTGGTGGAATCGAAACCGCGCTCCAAGAGGTATGATCCCAAAAACAAAAATAATAAGAATAAGAAATATGACTACAAATCCAAGGACTCTAACCCCCAATTCAAAAAGAAAGGCAATTGTTTTGTCTATGGAAAGCTAGGGCACTATGCAGCGCAATGCAGGAAAAGGGCTACTCAAAAGGTTGATAATCCTCCTAAGCCAAATGTGAATTTGGTAGAAGGAGATAATGGCAGTGATGATGAAGTCATAGCTGCAGTGGTCTCTCAAGCCCTTATTGTGACTGATGTGAAGAAATGGGTAGTGGACTCAAGAGCCACTAAGCACATCTGTGCAAATAAAGAGATGTTTACCTCCTTTGAGAAGGGAAAGACCACATCTACCTCGCTAACTCCCGAACTACCAAGGTTCAGGGAAAGGGAAAAGTGGTACTGAAACTCACATTAGGAAAAACCCTAGCGCTAAATGATGTGCTGTATGTCCCAGATGTTAGGGCAAACTTAGTCTCTGTGGTGCTACTTAGGAAAGCTGGGGTTAGAGTGTCCTTTGAGTCTGACAAAGTTGTCATGACTAAGAATAATGTTCTCATTAGGAAGGGATATTGTAATCAGGGTCTATTTGTCTTGAGTGTTGCTGAAATTAATGAAAATGCATCTTCTTCTGCTTACTTGATTGACTCTCTTGATTTGTGGCATGCTAGATTAGGACATGTTAATAAATCATATATTAAAAGATTGCAGAACCTTGGGCTAATTTATGAGCTAAAAAGTGATACTGAAAACAAATGTGAAGTATGTGCGAAGACTAAATTAATAAAGAGGACACATTTTTCTACACAAAGAGAAACTGAACTACTGTCCTTAATTCACACTGATTTAGGAGATTTAAAACAGGTTGAAACTAGAGGAGGGAAAAGATACTATATTACCTTTATAGATGACTTTTCTAGATACACTAAGGTATATTTGTTGAGGAATAAAGATGAAGCGTTTGAAAAGTTTCTTTTGTATAAAGCAGAAGTAGAAAATCAACTTAATAAAAGAATTAAAAGAGTTAGGTCAGATAGAGGAGGGGAATATTTAGCTTTAAATGAGTTTTGTGAAAAAGAAGGAATAATCTATGAAGTAACTCCTCCTTATTCACCTAAGTCTAATGGTGTTGCAGAAAGAAAAAATAGAACTTTAAAAGAAATGATGAATGCTATGCTTGTGATTTCTGTTGCACCCAATAACTTGTGGGGAGAGGCCTTGTTATCTGCTTGTTTTTTGCAAAACAGAATACCTCATAAGAAAACTAAAAAGACACGCTATGAGATGTGGAAAGGATTTGTGCCTAATCTTAAATACTTAAAAGTGTGGGGGTGTCTTGCAAAAGTCTTATTACTTGATTCTAAAAAGAGAAAAATAGGTTTGAAAACTTCTGATTGCATGTTTATTGGTTATGCTCAACAAAGTGCTGCTTATCGTTTTTTGGTTTTGAAAAGCGATTTTTTGGATCACAATACAATTGTTGAAACAAAAGATGCAGAATTTTTTGAGAATATATTTCCTTTGAAAATTGAACATGTCCCTAAAAGAATTGAAAATTCTTCCTTTGAAAAAACTTCAAATGATGGTTTGAGTGAGAATTTAAGGAGAAGTAAAAGGCAAAGAAAAGAAACCTTTTTTGGAGATGACTTTTATACCTATTACAAGGCGAACCAAAAAATTTTCATGAAGCAATTTCTTCTCCAGATTCTCAGTTTTGGAAAGAAGCTATCAAAGCTGAAATAGATTCTTTAAATCAAAATAAAACATGGGTTTTGGTTGACTTGCCCCCAGGAGCGAAACCTATTGGGTGCAAATGGGTTTTCAGGAAAAAATATTTTCCAGATGGGTCAATTGACAAATACAAGGTTAGATTGATAGCCAAAGGTTTTACACAAAAAGAAAACGTTGACTATTTTGATACATTTTCTCTTGTGACTAGGATCTCTTCTGTTAGAATTCTGATTGCTTTAGCTTCGATTCACAAGCTTTTTATTCACCAAATGGATGTTAAAACAGCCTTTTTAAATGGTGATTTAGAAGAAGAAATTTACATGACCCAACCTGAGGGGTGCATAGTTCCTGGGCAAGAAAATAAAGTTTGCAAACTTGTTAATTCTTTATATGGTTTGAAACAAGCGCCTAAACAATGGCATGAAAAGCTAGACCAAGTTTTGTTGAGTGGTGGCTTCTCTACTGTTGAGGTAGAACGTTGTGTCTATACAAAACTTGTAAATGGTGATTGTGTGATTATTTGCTTATATGTGGGTGACATGCTTATTTTTGGTACTAGCATGAATTTTTTTTTTTTGATAAAGAGGGAAAGGAGAAAAAACTAAGAGAAAATTACAAAAAACTAAAGGGTGCCCCTCTCAAGGAGCAGATGTCCCGTGCTCTCGTTGGAGAGAATTTGTAGACCAAAGCCCATGGAGAGAGCTTCTTTTGCTAGCAGGTCCGCCACCTTATTTTCATTTCGATTAATGTATCTCAGCTGGACAGTCCAATCACGTCGCAAGTAGCTTTGCAGTTCCCTGATCAAACTTTCATCTTCATGAAGGTGCACGTCTTCTGAGTTACATAGGGAGATCAGCTCGGTACAGTCTGTAAGGAGTCTAACCATACGAAAGCCATTGTCCCAGGCTCGCCTGAGTCCCCAAATGCATCCCCAGATCTCAGCAGTGAGGCTATCTCTTCCCTCTATGCGGCATAAAAAGGATTCTATAGTTGCACCGTTGCCCCTGCTCAACACTCCGCCACATCCGGCTACCTGGGTTCTTCTGGAAAAGGCCCTGTCTACATAAACACTAATGGCGTCTTCTTCTGGAATATCGTCATTGAGTCTGGAAGATTTCCTCCTGTTCAAAGGGCACTTTGCTGCTTGTATCATACATCGTGTCACTCCATGAGCTTCTGCAACACACGGTACTAGCATGAATGTTGTGTGTGAGACAAAATGTTTTCTTGCTTCAAATTTTGATATGAAAGATTTGGGTGAAGCAAAGGTTATATTGGGCGTTAAAATCATAAGGAATAAATGTGGTATCCTACTTTCTCAAGAGCACTATGTTGAGAAAATCTTGAGAAAGTTCGAACACTATGATGTTTCTCCTGTTAGCACTCTTTATGATTCCAATATGCATTCAACAAAACATGAAAGAGATCTAGTTGCTTAATCTAGATATGCACAGATCATTGGGAGTCTGTTGCATTTAATGAACTATACCAGGCCAGACATAGCTTATGTTGTGTGTAGGTTGAGCAGATACACTCACTGCCCAAACAGTAAGCATTAGGAGGCTTTGTTGAGGGTATTGAGTTACTTGAGAGGTACCATGAATTATGGTATACTATATAGTGGATTTCCTGCTGTATTAGAAGGATACAGTGATGCTAGCTGGGTTTCAGACTCAAATGAGACAAAATCCACTAGTGGCTATATTTTTAATCTCAGTGGTGGTGCAATAACATGGAAGTCAGCCAAACAAACTATACTAACCAAATCCTCGAGCGATTCTGAGTTTATTGCAATGGAGTTGGCTGGGTCTGAGGCTGAGTGGTTGAAAAACTTCTTAGTAAACATTCCAATAGGTGAAAAACCAACACCATCAGTGTCTCTACACTGTGATAGCCAATCGGCGATAGCTACGGGTAAAAATAAAACCTTCAATGGTAAAAACAGACATATTCGATTGAGACATAATATTATAAGGCAACTGCTAAAAGATGGAGTAATCTCAATCGATTATGTGAGGTCAGAAGTGAACCTAGTGGATTTATGAAACATTGAGGGGAATGGGACTAAAGCCAATTCAAAATTAACAGCGATGGCAACCCAACCTTTGTGCCTGGTGATCCCATGAAGAAGGTTCAATAGGTAAGAACAAGTCGCTTGTTAGTTCTGCTAGCACTAAATAAACAGTTAGTCCCTTCCTATGGTGTGTAAGAAAGCGCTAGAATGCATTTTGGTGAGGCTGAGCAGAAGCTCTTAATGATTTCACAGTCCTATGGGACGGTGTGCTCATTGCAGATACACTTAATGAAATCACCTCTATGAATGTGGAGTGGGACCGCTCCTATGAGATCGTGGTGAAATCTCTAGAGCATTCGTTATGCACCAGGCACGCGCACGGCCGTATTAAAGTGCAAAAATGCCGTTAACAGCAGAAATGTGGGGGTATAACCCGACTGATAATACCTCTAGTATACGTCCAAGAGGTGTGAGTTCATAGTCCATAGGACAACTGACATCTCTGTGTACTAAGTGTTACTGGTCTAGGTCTAGTTCATAGTCCAAAGGACCACTAGATACAACAGTTATATCCATTTGTGAAACTCAGCAAATGGCATTCCTTTTGACACATGTGGGGGATTGTTGGAAATTGTGTGGGTGTGTCAAAAGGACAAGTCCCACATTGCTCAAGAGAGTGAAGGCACAAGTCCATAAATACAAGCTTGTGTTCTTGGGCTAGTGAATGGGCCTAGAGGAGAACGAGGATCTCGCGCGCACAAGCATGGGCCACTGGAGGCAAACGCAGTGTAAATCCAGCAATCCCCCCCTGCGCGTGAGTTAAAGGCAAATTGGGCACCTTTTAGTCAGAGATTTTTTGGAAAATCCAGAAATGATTTAAGCCTACCTAAGAACCATGATTTTATTACATTTGATTTTTGAAAGCCTACCGTTTGGTTCTTTAAACTCCATCAATATGGCTTAACAGATTTTTATTTGTGTAACATTTGAGTTAATTACTAGTAACGCTCAAAACGTATACGCTACTCAGTTTTATTGCTGTAACGTTTGAGTTAATTACTAGTAACGCTCAAAACGTATACGTTACTCAGTTTTATTGCTGTAACGTTTGTAATTGATGTTTTAATCACCATTAATGTGGTTAATTAAGGGCCCAACGTCTCTTGATCCGAGGCCTATATAAGGCACAGTTTGCATGAGGTTCAAGCATCCCGCACTTGAGCTTTCGTGCATCTCTTCTCCCTCCTCTAGAATTCTCTTTGCCTCGCTGGGTCTATATCTTCTCTTCTGCTATTCTGTTCACCCTGTTCTTGCAGGAGGAGTCCGTTTAATCCTGGGAAGTGCCGCTTCCTCACTTGCCAGTGGTGGCAGAATAGCTCTTAAGGACAGCATTCGCAGGACGTGACTCGGACTAACAGTTTTCTACAGGTGATGCCGCCTACATATTATCTAGTCTAGTAATCTAGCATAATAATATATAAATTCGAGAGAAAGTCAGATTATGTGGCCAGGCTTTGTGTATAGTGTGTTTGTAATTAACTATTTAAGTGATAAGTGATTTAGTTATGTAAAGTTAAATTTAAATTAAATAGTTCTTTAGCCCTTAATGTAAGAGTTTTTTTTTTCTTTTTAACAAGAGAAACAATTATTAATGAAAGAAACAGTCTACAAGGACTTATCCTACTTCCATAGGGCTTGAAACATTAGAATTATTTACAAAGGATTGAACTTTCACTACATTAATAGCATCATTATCCAAAATCTGCTGAAAATGAGATGGTTTTGTAACAAGCATTAATCTGCAGGTAAAAGGGAGAAGTAGCCACAGTTTTCTTACACACATTTCCAAGATGGCATTATGACCCCTGCAAGTAATCCAACTTGCAGAGCAAGCAGGATTTTTACTGAAAGCACCATCAAAGTTTACTTTCAAAGAACCAAATTAACTCCTTCTCCCTTAACATATGACTGGTACCACACCTCTGTACCTGAAAATCTTCACTGCTTTTAGCAGCCCACACCTCATTTGCTAGCAAAGATGGCGATGAGACCACTTTCACTGGATCTTATTTGAGCTTCTTGAAAAACAAATTCACACCTTGCTTTACAAATATCCCAACATAAGGCTGTAATAAGAGATCGATCCTTGTCCTCAATATCCTTATTATGTAGAAACATTTGTTCTAGCCATCTCTTGATACAAGCTACCTGGTTGCTATTAATATTTAGAGATAACGAACATCCAGAACAGCACCTATGAGACCACGGGCAAAGCAGAATGAGGTGTTCAATGGTTTCATTATCATTTTGACATATCGGACAGATCATATCTCTAGCACACTTCCCCTTAAAAAGTGCCTCCGTAGTTGCAATAGACCCATTCAATAACCTCCAGATGAAATGCTTTATTTTGGGTGGAATCTGTAGTCTCCAAACGGAATTCCAGAGTTGTACAGAAACTTTATAAGAACTTCCACGTCGCACCAAAACTGGTTTTTCCTCTTCACGTTTTGCAAATTCATAGCTTAATTCTACCGTATAACCTCCATTCTTGCAAGATACCCAGATAGGAGTCTCTATCTCATTTATCTCTGAAACCTTCGTACTTCTGATCCATATATTTCCAGTGTCAGTTAACTTATGGGAAATTGATTGCGAATCCCACAAAGCCATTAGAGATCAGATTCCCCTACTCTCAAAGATCTTTCAGCATCAGTAATTGGCAATGCATTAATCTGATGATTAGGATCCTCCAAAAGCCATCTCTGTCCAAAACCTTTAACATTACTTCTCCATCCAATTTTCCAAAAAAGATTCTTTTTTAAACGCTCTCTCCCTTGTAGAATACTTAACCAGCACCATGTTGCTCTTCCACCTACCTTTGCTTCCATAAAGCTTAATCTGGGAAAGTAGATTGACTTCAGAATTGGACACCACAGCTCATTTGGATTTTGTAAAATCCTCCAAGCTATTTTTGCCAATAAGGCCTTGTTGAAAGCATGGAGGCTTCTGAATCCCAACCCTCCAGCACTTGTCGGATTTGTCATGAATTGCCAGCTATCCCAATGAATTTTTCATCTACTTTGTTCATTGCATCCCCTCCAAAAGTCAGAGATCATGTTATCAATTTTCCTGTATATTGCCTTTGGAAACATAAAGCCTGGCATTAAATAGACAGGAATAGTCTTAGCAACTGATTTTATTAAAACCTCCTTACCTGCAAAAGTTAAGAGTTTATACTTCGATCCTCGTAGCTTCTTTTTTATTTTATCTTTAAAAAAAACTATAGCAGCATTTTTAGATCTAGCCTAAATAAGGGGAAGGCCGAGATACTTACCAGGTTCAGCAGATCTTTTGATTTCTAAGACATTTTGAATTTCATTTTTTAAATCAATAGAAGCATTAGAGGAAAAGTAAATGCAGGATTTATCAAGGTTGATTTTTTGACCAGAGGCACGCTAAAAGTATTCAATATTTGTTTCAAAACCAAGCAATTATTTATCTCAACTTTTATAAATATCGAAACATCATCTTCAAAAAAAAAAAAAAAAAATGTGAGAGGATAGGTCCACCTCTTGAGAGCCTTATACCCTTTAAGTCAGGTGTTGTAGCCAAAGAGAAAGAACATCAATAACTAGAACCAAAAAATAGGAAGAAAGTGGATTTCTTTGTCTCATACCCTTTGGGAATTGATCCTAGCCACTTTTTGAATTAAATTAAAGAAGTTGAATAAATTAGTTAATTATAACAAACGCGACATAATCTCTTTTAAATACCGCTATATAATATTAGATTATATATCAATTTACTCTTTTGGTCCTATTTATAAGTCACTTCTAATATGTTTTATACAAACCAATAAAAATCTTAGACTTCATTAATTCTGATTTAAAATTCAATAACTTTCCAACTTTATCCCTATTCAATATATATTATACCTCATATAAACAAAGTCAACATAATAATAAATAAAAGGTAAAATTGTATATCTATAAAAGAAATTTCTCTCAATGCCCTATAAATAAGACTAAAGGAGTATAAGTTAAGTATGTTAGTTTAGAAAAAATGATAAATATGAGAGATATAATAGATTAATATACTATATCTAGGATTAAATCCAACCTTTAAATTAACTTTTACAGTTGAAATAAAAGGGAGTAGAAAAATTAATTGTATGACTACATTTTCTTAATAAAAAGGCAAAATAATTATAATAACAATAAAATAAAAGGTCTTGCATGTAAAAATACAAAGAAAGATAAAGAAAATTGTTAGAAAGAGTAGAAAAATAAGAGCTAGAAGAAATTAAAACAGAAACACTGGTAAAATAGAAAGACTACATATCTAGTTGTGTCTTTCATGTAAGACAAATCATATACACATAAATTAATAATTGCACATATGAATTCTCACAAGGGAGAGAAGACTTGACATAAATACCTCTCACTATGACTCTTAATTCAGAGATGAACAAAGAAGGAGAGTTGTAATCAGAGAATAATATTAATTTAAAACAATATGCAGGGACTTCTTTTGACGGGCAATAAGCATAGTAACAGCAATCGAGAAAAATCATCACCGCTCATTAAACCCTTTAAAGAGGAGCAAAGAAGTTTTATGCGTAACTATTAAATAATGACTAAGTTAAAAAAAAAAAAAAACCTACTTAGACTGGACCTAAGCTAACTACATGCCACAATCAGGATACTTAGTCAATTACCTAATTTAATATCCAAATAATGATAAGAATTAATAAAACATCTACATTTAATTATTTATGTGATCATGAATGCAAAGGTTAATGCAGACTTCATCCTTAAGCATCTCAATATACCTTCCCATATGCATGCAAATACATTTTCATAAGATTCTCTAATGGAACAAGCTGGTAAAACCAGCGTTATGTTTTGTACATTATCTTCTTCACCTATGCACAAGACAAAGCTACGGATATTCCAAGTAGAAATACCTTACTTCCCCTAATTCGTTACCCCTTTCTTGTTCCTGTACATTTCCTCCCTTCTTGAAATCCAAAGCCCTAGCAAGTCATGATGTTGTGAATTTGTGATGCTGATGCATCCACTTGAAGTTTTGGGGTCATTTGTTTTTGTTTAAAATAAAAAAATCACTTTCATCTTAAAAAAAAGTCACTATTAAAAAAATATAAGATGTTTATTTAAGCTTTTAAAAATAAACGAAATTCCGAAAACTAACATGAGAGACTAGAACTCTGCAGCCCACTAGCTTCGGCTAAACTAACCGTTTCAATTTCTTGAAATGGTCAAGCCCGTAAGCTTTCCAGATGGAAAAATTGTCGTAACCTTTCTTCCTCTCCTAGTGATCATAAACTTCATTTGAAACATATCCTTGGCTCGGGCTATTTGAACAAATCGAATCGCAAGGAACTAATAATTTTGTAATCCGTATGAATAACTTTTTTTAATAAATGGGAGATCACTATTTGCAAATTCAATCTCACTTATAATCCCTACCCTTTTAATTCCAAAAAAAATGCGCACAAAAAGATACAAGGTTTCAAGTATATTTTCATGAAGTTATATAATTAAATTAGCCTCAAAATTTGCAAATATAACCAAATAATTTATTTTACATAATTACTTTATCAATATAAAAATGATAAATGAATAAAGAAAATGAGAAATCAAATACAGAATCCAATTCCTTCCATTAAAAAATCTTCACCTTATTAGTACAACACATAAACTTCGTTTTCATTAAAATAAAAATAAAAAATGTATTGGGGCTCATGGATTAAGTGGGATGGGCTGAAAATATTAAATACCCGCCTCAACAGGCTTCGATTTCGCCAACCCAAGGGTTGACAGGTTGGTTTTGTGTACTACCAGCGGGTTGGTCCTGCGAATTACCCGCTATATCTTGCAGATTAAATTTGCAGAAAGAGCAAATTTACACAGGCAACTGGAGACAGAAGCATTCCCTACATTGAAAAAGCTGTCTAAGGTAGCGAAAGATACCCCCAAGGTACAAATTAGAAAGCTTATAAGCTATAAATCAAAAAAGAAAAAAGCTTTACAAAACATTTCGGACCCAAACTAAACACTAGGATGGCATAGGTATTCGCTTCTTCTGCAGGTATTTCATGAGGCTTTGTCAAACAAGAATTTGTGTATTGGCAAACACTAGTCAGCATGCATGTCCATGGCAGAATCATTGGAACTAAAAGCAGTGTAATCCCTGTTTTGCTGATGCAGAAAGCCAGGTTCACTGTTACGGTTTCCGTTGGCCATGGAAAGACCACTAGGGTAGTAACCTCCCTCGCCGATTTGATAGTGCTGGAGACTTCGACGAACAGGGCTTGACAAAGCATTAGAAAACACGGAATTCTTTGATTGATTATCACATCCCTGCCCCAGAATAGTTTGGCCAGAAGAACCTGAAGTCACTGGGAAACCTGAACTATTAACATGCATAACTGTCTGAGACTGATGCTGTTGCAGGGGAGCTCTGGGAGACAGAGATGGCTCCTCTCCACAATAATCCAGTTCATGCTACAACAATAGGAGAAAACTATCACACACTTGATCGTGAAACAGCATAAGAGAATAGTGTTGTAACAATCCCATTGTTTTCCTTTTTTATTTTAGTAAAACCAAGTGCTATAAGCAAAATTTTCAAATTGCATCTAGAACAAACAAGCTACAAGTCAAAACTGACCTCTAATTTCTTGGAATTGTCAATCCAGTAAACTTCCCACATGGAAAAAATTGTTATAACCTTTCTTCCTCTCTTTACTGATTATAACTTCATTTCAAACCTAACCTCAGCTTGGGCTATTTCATCATTTCAAATACCCACAAAAAGATATTAAGTTCCGATTTCAGAAAAGATTAGAGATAACCAAGTCAACCAGTAGATGATATAGAATAACTTGTTGATCAATATCACACGAACAATAATGCTTTTAGTTGAAAATGTCCAATTTTCCAACCAAAATCTGATGGACAGTGATAAGAACAAACAATGTTACAAATTAAATGTCTTTTAACTATTTCCCCGTGCAGTAACATACTCCAATCTTGGGCGGATCTAAATTGGTGAAGGCCTCTTCAATGACCCAGTAATAGAATATTACATCACATGGGAAAATATTGGTATTAGTAAAAGGGAGCAGTCAAACCAACCTGAATGTAGTTGACAATATCAACTGTTGTAACCCTTGATCCTCCTTCTTGTTGTCTCCTGACCCACTGATAAAGCTTTTCCTGAAAATCAATAGGACAACCAAATCAACACAATGTCCAGATAAGGTTTTGAATATCAAAGTCAGTGTTGCTAAGGCTAAATATGAGCAGTCCATCCTATGCTGTTTCCACATTTTGAAAAAGTTGCTTGTTAGGATAGGAAAATTGATACGGGTTGCTTCCAAAATGTTGACCTCCACAAATGGGTATGCCAGAAGCCCTCAGCTCCCGGTTGAAGCATGTCAAAGCAGAGTTTCATAAACTTTTTAAATAACTAGCTGTCATATTGAAGCATTGATATATCCCATAATAGAAAGAAGCAGAAAAGGAACAAAGATGCATCATGCCTTTCAAAGTCTATAATGCAGAAATTTGAATGAAAACCTCTTCATAAAATCATTACTTTTTCAAGGACATGGTCAAGCAGTCCAATATTTTTCCAAAAGGAAAAAGTACTTAAATATCCTGGAAGTATCCATGAAGGAGCACCCAATACCTGGAAGTATGTTTTGGCTCTTATATGCTTTGGAAGTTTATTTTCTTATAAAACATATCCTGGTCCTTATCCACCGTTAAGTTTGACTTTTAAATTATGTGGTTTGACCCGTGTCTTTAGCGGTCAAATTTAATGGCAGATAACGGTTCAGGATAGAAATATTATAAAATAAAACTTTCAGGGCATATAAAAGCCAAAAAAACTTCCAGGTACTCGGTGCTCCTTTGTGGATACTTCCGGGATATTTACGCACTTCCCCTTTTTTTCCAAATACCAATGTCATAAACCTAGTTTCACATAGATAAGCAGAAACCTGGTAACAAATATTTTCAACTCAGTATTGTAGTCCATAACCTTGAAGTCAGAAGCTGGATTACAAATGCCAACCAAGAAAACTAGCATTGTTGATGCGTTAATTTCTCATAATCTTCATGAATTATCTATTACACTTGCCGGCTAGTTTTTCACTTCACCATCATCATGCCCTAGCCCACTTGGGATATACTGAGTGTTGACATGTCTATTATTCATATCACTTGTCTTAAATCATTTTGAGCAAAGTCAAATCTTCCTCCTACCTCCCTGCCCCACGAGTCAAAAGGATATTACCTTCAAATTTTTGATTTCCAGATATCTTCATGCTTCAAAATCACACATATTCCAGTAACATATCTCAAGACACAAGTATTAAGCAACTATAAAAAAAAAAAATCTATACTTTTAGATACCTGCATATCAGGGATGTTTTTCCACCATGAAAAAATTATAATGGTACAGTGAATATATCACAAAAGCATACTTCAATACAAGATGTCAAAAGTCAAAGCAACTGGAAAGCTTGCTCGGTTCAAAGCTTAATGTATTTAATGTTTTATTTTTTGAACGGCTTAATTCTTAACATTTCACTAAAATATAATAGAGCTAATTTTATGTATATTCGCAGCTTCATGCTAAGTATAATTTAGGCCACATAAAAATTTTCTCAGTAAAATCTTTAATTAAGCATAAGACCAATCCCGCAAATGCTTATTGCACCATTCGAGCAAGGTAGAATCCAATATTATAAACAAAGTTCCACTTCATTTTGTGCTGAAATCAAACTATTAAAATACCTCTCAAGTGTTTTCAGCTAAGCTAAGCACCTTTTGTCAACTGAATTAATGAAATGACACAAGTTATTTATACTGTAATGTCCAGATAATTCTCAAAATTTTCGTAGTCAAGTAAATTGGGACGTCAAAGTAATTTAGCGTTCCTAGTATTCTGTGTTTTTTGTTTCCTTTTGCAGCAAAAACATTTCTAGTATTCCATAAATTTAAAATGAACCCATCTTTCTTGCAGAAGTACAGTTCAACTTCAACCATCCAAAACCAGGGAAAAGAATTGCAAAAGGAAAAAAAACGTCAAGGGCGCTTAAGTTTTGAAGACATTAACCAGAAATCTGTATGGGTTAATGCAAAACACAAGCCTTACATTGAAAAAATCCTGACCATTCATATTAATTCTGTAGCACAAAGGCATTGCAAAAGATACAGTGCATTTACGATGATGTAATTGTCATCCGAAAAAGCAAGCAAAGGCAAAAGGTCCATTCATAATCAACAATCGAGAAGGGGTAAGGGACACCTAAAACCATAGTTAAGATTAGGGGCAGAAAGTAGTATCGACGCATCGAATCACCAATTAAAACCCATCAGCTAAAATCTGAAATTCAGAAGTAGCAAATTTCTTTGCTTTCGAGCAGAAAGGAAAACCAACTCGTATAGGGAGGCAAGAGATCTTACGAGGCCGTGGCGTTCCCCGGCCTGGAACGAAAGCTTCTGGTGGTTCATAGCCTGTGTATAAAGTTGTGACAGAGAATTCGCCGCACTGCAAAAGGACGCATACATGGTCCGATCCACCTCGTCAAGGCTTGAAGTAGTGGACTTCCTCTTCTTGGCCATCGCTGACAAATCACAAGAGGCTTCGAACGGGAATCGGCACAAAGAACTGCGGCGGCGCCAACGCGAATCCCGTCGTCGATCGGAGGGAGCAAGATTAGGGGATGATTATGGGATATGGAGGGGAGAGGGAGGGCCAGAGGAGGGCGGCTTTTGTAGTTTTACGGGGAAAAGTTTCACAGAAGGAAAGAGGCCACATGGTAACTATGGAGGGCATGCGATCCACGTGATAATTGCTTTGAAGGCTCCAACGAACGGACAGAGAGAAGGAAAAAGATAACTGCGGTGTAGGAGAAGGATTGGAGTGTAGGAGACGCGTGGAATCTTGTTTGGTTTAAAGGACTGTGATGAGCGTTGCCGGTATAGTGGTGGGAATTGGGATAGGCTACGGAGAAATGACTTGAGTGCGCGCTTGGGCCTTTCTCTTTTTCAAAAAGACAAAATAGAAAATAAAAGGTTAAAATTAAAAATTTTATTAATATATAAACCTGATAAATTTTATACATGTAAAGGAATGTTAATATAACTTTTGGTGTTTCAAGTTTATTCATAATTTTAGCCTCTCAAGTTTTAAACCATAAATTTTAACCTTACAAAATGATCTAAATTTTTATTAAATTATATGAACTAATATTTTAGATGAAAATAAATTTAAGGAATCAAAACATGTAGTTTGAAATTTAGGAGATTAAAATTAAAAAAAAATGATAAACTTAAAAAACTAAAAATCATGTTAACCTTATAAAATATCATTGCGTAGAGAGCATTAGTTTTTTTTTTTTTTTTTGGGGCCTAGAGAGTATTAATATTTTGATTTAGGTTTCTCTCACTAATAACGTGAGTGCCTGCTTGGGCCTTTCTCTTTCCAAAAAAGACAAAACAGAGAAATGAAAATAAAAGGGTATGTGAAACGTGTAACTAGCTAAGATAGTCACTAAAATTTCAGAAGAGTAAAGTACGGAAAAGTCTAAAAAAAATTAATTACAAAAAAATCCCAATAATAAATGCTTAGTCTTAACCTGTTGTTATTTTCTACTCTAAAAGTTATTACTGCTTACTCTTCACTTATAACTAGATTTTAAAATAATTAAATCTCTTACTTGAGACCTAATTGTAATTTTTCTTTTTGAGAATCGTGAAAAGTGCTAAATTAGAAATTTTATTAATATAAAAACCTGATAAACTTTTATACATATAAAATATGATTAATACAATTTTTAGTCTCTCAAGTTTACCTACGGTTTTGGTTTCTCAAGTTTTAAACCATAAGTTTTGATCCCTCAAGAGGCAAAATAGTCTGAGTTTTTATTAAATTATAGGAACTAATATTTTATATGAAAATAAACTTGATGGACCAAAACTTATTATTTGAAATTTGAGAGACCAAAACTGAAAAGAGAGTAAACTTAAGAGACAAAAAATTATAGCAACCCTACAAAGTGTCATTACATGTAGAGTTTAGTATTTTGATTTAGGTTTTTCTTGCTAATAATTTTTGTAATGGGATTTTTTCCCAATATTCCCTTTTTTTTTTAAGGAAATAGCTCTATACTTATTATGGAGAAATCATGATAACAATTTTAACACCTATTTAGTGAATTTGTTGGATTATAGAATCGGGTTAGCTTTTCTTGACTTTAGGTCAAATATAACAATCTAATCATACGTAAAAAGGTTTTATACTTATTCCATCGTTTTGCTTGATGGGTTGAGGTGCAAATCTAACATTATGAAACTTTTTTTAGTGTAAAAGTATACATAAAGTTTTTTTTAAGTATTGTAAAAATATCACAACCATTAAACCAATTAATATTGATCATTTAACAAATATATAGGTCAAGAAAATGGTACAAAAATATACATAAAGTTTCCTACGGCCTATTCTTTTGGTTAAAAAAAGTTTTGGTGAATTAGATCAAACCATGAGGTACTTATAAATCATTCATTAACAATGTTCTCATATCAATAGCAGGATTCAAACTCATGACATTGTGAGTTATAAGCTAACTCATTACCAACTCTTGTCCAACGGCCTACTTTGAAAATCTCATGTATATTTTTGTACTATTTTGAATATTTCATATGCATTTTTGTACCATTTCTTAGTTGACATGTTTGTTAAATGGTCAACATTAGTTAAATTAATAGCCGTTTTATTTTGCTTCATTTTAAAAATTTGTGGATATACTTCTAACAATATTATTCAACATTTGATTTTAATTAGATAGATTTAACTTGGTAAATTTCTTTTTAATTCATTAACTGTATGAAAATACGTCTAAATCCCACTGTTCTCTGAAAAAATTATAATTGTGAAATAATATAATACATTATCTTTTAGAACCATTTTGAAAGATGAAATGATACCTTATTCTGCACTTTTTATGGTTCCAATAGCTTTCTCAAAAGTATTTGTCGAACATAAAACGCATATTAAGTTTTAACTCTTGATAATGTAATCGAAGTTTTTCCTATCCTTTAACACCATCCATCAAACTTACTTAACAAATCATGCTTACGTGCATGAAATTAAATAAATTTAGCTATGATAAGTTTAGTACCTCATCAAACTAACAAAGCAGATAAAAAAAACTATGTGCCTTTCTTTTATCAATTGAACGTTTTTCAGTTGCACAAGCCTCATATATGTTAAATAAACTTTTTGGTGCTCTGCTATGATTTTTTATTATGTTGTCGTCTTCGAACTTTTCAATGCCAAGTGGTGGGCAGAATATGGTGGAGGAGGTTGATCTCCTCATGTGAAAGGGGAAAAAAAAAAAATTCAATCTTAAGTTTAACCTCATTTTGATCTCTAAAATTTGAAACTAATACTCTTGGTCATTAAATCATATTTAGCTTACAGGAACTAACGGTTATACATACTGTAAATTTTAAAATATCAAAAACATTTATTTCAAATTTTGTATTAAATTTTCAGAACTAAAAATTATATTAACCTAAAAAGTATAAAAAAAGGCCAAAAAGGACGGTTCGGAAGTCATAAAGTGTGGCAGAGAGTATGGTATGGTGGAAGGGTGGGGTAGGGATATCTTATAGTAATGCGTTTGATAATGATTAAGGAGTAGAGATATTCACACCTTTGCCAAGAATCCAACGTGATGGAACATTTAGAGTCTGATTTGGCTTCTTACCAAATAAATTAAAGGTTGCAATGCAATTCAACATCGTGGGTATTCAGTGAGGCGCAATTGGTATATTCAAGCTTTTAATGGCACCATATTCCTCCTAATTTTAAAAGTAGTGCAATCTTATCCTATATTAGCATGAGGATAAAACTTATGTCAGATTATTTATATCTATTCGGTCAAGTTTATAAATAAATTTATAAATGTGCCTATGTATTTTAATAACTAATAATATATATATATATATATATATAACAAGTGTTCATAATTTCACAGGTAAGTTTATAAGTGTGCAAATAACACGTGTCAATATGAAAATTTACAAATTTTAATTTACATTACAAGAGATGATACAAAAATTGACTTATATTCATCAGTGAATTTACCGTTGGAGATTGTACCCTAGGCCAATCAATTGGATGTAAACATTATATTTAATTTAATGAAAGCTGTTTTATCAAAAATATTTATTTATTACTACCTCCGGTCCTTAATATAAGACCTTATTTGACTTTTATTTTGGTCCTAATTATAAGATCCCAATTCACTTTGTCTCTCATATTTATGCATTTTTTCCTAAAATAGTTCCTCTAATAATGATAGTTCTAGCCGATAAACTTGATTAGTAAGGATATTTTAGGAAAGACAACATCTATTTATTGCAAATAATTAACTTAACTTATTTCCTTAATCTCTTCAAATTAGTCAAGTAGCTCTTATAATTAGGACTGGAGGTAGTATATTGTTTTCCACGTTTTCCATGATAAGAATCCATGAAGAATTTAAAAACTGTTCTAAATGTTCTTAGTCAATTATTATTTTGGGAATAATAATGAATTAAGACTACTATGATTTTGATTGGTCACCATCTATGGGGATATAAATCAAAATCACAGGCACTTTGTAAAAACCAAGGTGCTAGAACAACTCTTCATGAGATAACTACACGAATTAGGCCATAAGCATCTCCCATTATAATTATGCTAGTGAGCCCTTGGCCTTGAGAGTACTACATATTCCTACATGAAGAACATTGTGTTTTGATATGGTTAAAAGTTACTTTCAATTGAGCGATTATAAAGGTCATGAGTAAGTTGTTCAACTAACTAGATGACAAATTAATTCGAGTTGTGCCTGTAGACATTGTCCTCAAGAGTCATTTTATCACCATAGGTAAATATAGATGCGGCACTCTCCAAGATTAAACGAATCCTTCCTGCAGTAAACAGGATGCTAGAACATCAGAAATGCAAATATAACCCAGTATTAGAGAAATGAGAGGAGAAAATCAGAGATGAGAGATGAATGCTCGAAAGCTCAAGAACTTTCCATTGAACACTCTGTCCCAAACCCCTTTATATAGGCCATGGAGCATTTGAACATTGGGCACCACACTTATGACAATAAACACGAGTAAATCTTCAGTTTAAGATGTTGGCATAATAAACACTATTTACACCTTTCGGTTATGAATATTAGAGGCACCCAAAATTGAATTTTTGGACATTTGGTAAGAACAGGATTAATAAAGGGATAATCTCAATTAATAAGGAATAAAATTCTAACATTCAGTAACCTTTGGCTAATAAAAACTAAAATTGATAAAACAAAGATTTTCTGATAAGCTCTATAACTTAATAATTCATTTTTACAAAAGTTTTTTTTTATATTAAAGGTGTCCAGTGCTGTCTTAACTCATGTGTAGGGGGGAAATCACTTGTTTTCAACTTCATTTTCCTTTAGCGGGTCATTGTCATGCACATAAGATCTTCCTTCTCCTCTAGGCCTATTCACTAGCTTAAGAATATAAGATAGTATGTATATATATACTTGAACCTCCTTTTCTCTTGAGCAATGTGAGAGTTCACTTTTGACACACCCACTTATATTCACAACAATCCCCCACATGTGCATATTTAGATTGAGTAACCAATTCTCCTTTATTTTTGAATAAATTCACACTAGAATCATAAGAAGTACTCAATGGATCATCATCAAATCTAAATTTTCTAAGAATTTTCTCAACATTATGCTCTTGAGACAGTATATTGCCATTTTCATTTTTTATTATGTTAACACCTAAAATTACTTTTGCTTCACCCAGGTCTTTCATATCAAAATTAGAAGTTAGGAAATGTTTAGTTTCAAACATAATATCTAGGCTAGTACCAAAGATAAGCATGTGATCTGCATACAAACAAATAATCACATAATCATTGTTCCCAATTTTGGTATGGACATATGGTTTAGGCACTTGTTTCAATGGTAGAAAAACCACTATTAATTAAGACTTGATCCAATTTTTCATGCCACTGTTTAGGTACTTGTTTCAAACCATATAAAGATTTTACAAGTTAAAAACTTTGTTTTCTTACCAAGGAACAACACACCATTTAGGTTATACCGTATAAATCTTTTTTTCTAAATCACTATTTAGAAAAGTCATTTTAACATCCATTTGGTGGATAAAAAGCTTATAAACCAAAGCTAAAGTAATAAGAATTCTCATAGAAGAAATTCTCATCACCAGTGAAAAGTATTAAAATAATCAATATTTTCTTTTTGTGTAAAATCTTTAGCTACCAACCTTGCTTTATACTTATCGATACAACCACTAGGAAAATATTTTTTTCCTAAAAATCCATTTACAGCCAATTAGTTTTGTCCCTAGAGGAAAATTAACTAAAACCCAAGTTTTGTTTTGTTTTAAAGAATCAATTTCTGCTTGAATTGTTTCTTTCTAAAAAGATGCGTCCGAAGAAGAGGTTGCTTCATAAAAATCTATGGGTTCATCTTGTACGAAATAACTGTAGAAATCATCTCTAAAAGAAGTTTCTCATCTTTGCCTTTTACTTCTCCATAAACTTTCTACTATGTTTTTGTTCGAATTTTGCTCAGAAGAATTTCTAACAACTTGAGGAATATGCTTAGCTTTCCAAAAAAAAATTATATTCAGAAAATTCTACATTTTTAATTTCAATAATGGTGTTTTGACCTAAGACATTACTTTTTAAAACCATAAAACAATAAGCTGTACTTTGTTGAGCATATTTGATAAATAAACAATTAGTAGTTTTAGAACCTATTTTTCGCTTTTTAGTGTCAACTAATAAAACCTTTGTAAGGCATCCCTACACTTTTAAATAATTAAGACTATGTGCAAAACCTTTTCATAATTTATAAGGAGTTTTATTTGTTTTCCTATGAGGTATTTTATTTTATAAAAGAACAAGTAGGCAATAAGTGGCTTCATCATAAAGGTTATCTAGTACAACAGAGCTTAAAAACAAAGCCTTCATAATCTCTTTTAAAGTTTTTTTTTCTTTTTGTAACACTATTTGATTCCTGTGAATACGGAGGGGTTACTTCATGAATAATTCTTTCTTTTTCACAAAAGTCATTTAATTGTAAAAATTCACTTCCTCTATCATATCTAACTCGTTGAATCTTTCATTCTAATTGATTTTCTACTTCAACTGTATATAAAAAGAATTTTTCAAAGGCCTCATCTTTACTCCTTAACAAATATAATTTTGTATACCTTGAAAAATCATCAATAGCAGTTACATAATATCTTTTACCACCTCTAGTCTTGGTTAGTTTTAGATCACCTAAATCAGTGTATATTAAGTAAGGATAACAACTCAGTTTCTCTTTGAGTAGAAAAATGAGACTTTTTAATTTGTTTTGTTTCTATACATCTTCATACTTATTAAGAACATTATTTTTAATTCCCGATATTAGTCTAAGATGATAAAGCCTTTTTATATAAGATTTACTTGTATGTTCTAATTTAGTATGCCACATACCAAAATAATCAATATAAAACACAAGCAAGTAAATAGAAGATGTATTATCATTCATTTTAGTAATGCTTAGTACAAATAACCCTAGATTATCATGCTTTCTCTAACAGAGCTAAAGAAACCAGAATTAGCTCTTATATCAGGCACGCACAGAACATCATTCAATGCTAAGGTCTTCCCAGATGTGAGTTTTATGACAACTGTTTCTTTTTCTTGAACTTTCATGGTTTGGGAATCAGTCAAATAATATGATCTTTTCCTTCTTCAAAAAAGGTGACCATGTCCTTATTCGCATAAATATGCCTTGTAGCACCTGAGTCTACCACCTATTCCTCATATCGGAGATCACAAGGGTTTGGGAGACAACAACAACAATCTTATCATCACCCCTCATTTTCGTCACGACTCCCTCTTGACTTAGTCACGACAAAAACCTATTCCTGAAAGGAAGCTCTCCTAAAACTCTCTGCTTCACCGCGGCAAACAAATCCTGAAAGGGATTTGTTCATCTGCTCCTCCAACTCACTTTGATCCCAAACTAGACACTAAAATTCAAGTTTAAACACCAATTATCCTCAAAAATTAGGGTTAAAGGGCTATTAAAACTCAGGACATTACAATTCTCCCCAATTAAGGAATTTTGTCCCCAAAATTCAAGCAATCACACAAGACACAGCACAAACACACACCAAACACTTACTAAGAAAACAAAAGAGGGTAATCACGTCATCCTCTCCTCCGTCTCCCAGGTGGCATCACCAGGACTCATGCCCTTCCAGAAAACTTTTTCTAACCGAATGGCCTTATTCCTCAACTGTTTGTCCTTTACGCCAAGGATTCTTTCTAGTTCTTCTTGGTAAGTTAGGTTGTCATGTAACTCCACCTCTTCAGGTTCTAGGATGTGAGACATATCGGGATGGTATTTCTTAAGTTGGGACACATGGAACACATCATGAACATTGGATAAGTGCAGTGGTAAGGCAATCTGATAAGCTACTTCTCCAGTTTTCTCTATAATCTCAAAGGGACCAAGAAATCTCGGAGATAATTTCCTTTCTTTAATGGACCTCCTAATGCCAGTAGTCGGCATAACCCTAAAAAACATATGGTCACCCTCACAAAATTCCAACGGTCTCCTCTTCCTATCTGCATAACTCTTTTGTCGATTCTGGGCTATCAATAACTTCTGTTTGATGACCTCAATCTTCTTCGTGGTGGCATTTTCTAAGTCTGGTCCCAAGACCATTCTTTCACTCAGTTCTGTCCAACAGAGAGGCGATCGACACTTCTGGCTATAGAGTGCTTCATAAGGGGCCATCTGGATACTAGCGTGGTAACTATTGTTGTAGGCAAATTTAGCCAAAGGTAGGTGATCAATCCAACTCCCCTTGAATTCGATAACACAAGCCCTCAACATATCCTCTAGTGTCTGAATTGTTTGCTTGGTCTGTCCATCGGTCTGGGGATGATATGCTGTATTGAACTTCAACTTAGTACCCAAAGCCGCATTCACTGCTTTCCAAAAGTTAGAAGTAAAAAACAGATCTCAATCTAAAACTATACTCAACGGAACCCTATGGAGCCTGACGATCTCATCCATGTACAGCTTGGCCATCCTCTCCAGGGTATAATTGACCTTATATGGTAAAAAGTGAGCAGATTTCGTCAATCTGTCCACCACCACCCATGTAGCGTCATAACCTTCGGGTGTCCTTGGTAAACCCACTATGAAATCCAAGGAGATACTGTCCCATTTCCATTGAGGGATTTCTAACCGTTGCAGCAAACCTCCAGCCCTTTGATGCTCTATCTTGACTTTCTGACAAGTCAACATCAGAGTACAAAGTTAGTCACTTCCTTCTTTATGTTAGGCCACCAGTACTGCTGCCTCAAGTCATGGTACATCTTGGTGGCACTAGGGTGGATGACGTAATGGCTGCGGTTAGCCTCCTTTAGGATAGTTCCCTTAATCTCCTCATCATGGGGAACACAAATCCGATTCTTATACCTCAGGATGCCCATATCTCCAAACTCATAATCTTGCACTGGGCCATTCTCTAATTCAACTTGAATCCTTGCTAGGTGATCATCATCCCGCTGAGCTGCTCGTAAGTCTTAATAGAATTCATAATCCCCGAACACTGCATATAGAGTAGCCTGCCCCGATGGCACCATTAGAATCTCCAATAATTCCTCAAGCAAGAACTGTTCTTTTAAACTCATACAGAACACATGTACCGCCTTTCTGCTTAGAGCATCCACTACCACATTAGCCTTTCCAAGACGATATTTAATCTCAAAATCATAGTCCTTTAGGAACTCCATCCAACGACGTTGCCGGTTGTTCAACTATTTCTGATCCACCAAGTATTTCAAACTTTTATGGTCGCTAAAGACCTCAAACTAGGAACCATACAGATAATACCTCCAGATCTTTAGCACAAAAACTACTGTCACTAGCTCCAAGTCATGGGTTGGGTAGTTTTCTTCATGTGCCCTCAGCTGTCACACCTTACTATTATATTGACTTAGGTTATTTTCAAAACCATTTTAGACCACATTGGATGGTTTTGGGCTCACTTTTTACCATAAAAATGCTAAATTTCGGATTTTTACTGTTCATCGGGTAAAAATCTAGTTTTCTGGCCCAATTTCAAAAATTCATAAATTATTCCACAAAAATCCAATTAGGGTAGTTCAAAATTCTAATTAAATATCTTTAAGTCCTCTTTCAAGGAAAAATAATCTCATTGTCCAATTCCTTATGAAAAAGTGTCAGGTTTTTGGGAAATGTAGCACTATCTATCTATTTGCTAAAAACCCTTTTTCCAGATTCTGACCTTTAACTTTGAAAAATCATTATAAATCGTTTACTGGGCCATTTTTAACGTATTAGCTATCAATTTGAAGCTCAGGATGTTATCTTTCATCATGCCAAATTTCGTGACTAAACACATTTGGGAGCATAATCAAAAAGTTGCGTGAACCAGACAGGGTCAGTGTGCTTACAGCACTGTTAGTATAATATGTACATAATCAAAATAAGTTCATGAATTTTTGTGGCTAAACCCCACAATTAGCCTTCAATCTGCAGCTTTCCTTTGGAGGATTTAGGCCCTAAAATGTTAGGTTACATTTGTGGAATGAGATTTCATTGAAATCCCAATAGCAAATTAACCAACTATAACACCAACAAGCATCATCAACATGCACAATTATATTGACTACTATTAGTGAACTAGCATGCTTATCATTTGGCAAAATCAATCATGCAAAGGCCAAAGCAAGAAATTACAAAAGCAGCCACATTATAATCAAGAAAGTCCAACCACATAATAGCAATTAATCATGCAATAATCAATAATGCTAAGTTAGTATTAGTAGCTAGGTTTAACTTGCTACCTTGCTCCAAAAGCTTTAGCTTTCTTTCCTTCTCCTCTTTTCCTTCATAAATATCAAACCCTAACAATGCAATCCATAAAAAAGGGAAGCAAGAATCATTAACCAACCAAGAAAAAGCAAGAACATAAATAAAAAATGATTCTTGATCCATAAAGCTCCCTCCTTTGTTCACCATTTTTGGACTTGTTTCTCTTTAACCTTAAAAATTGCTTCTTGACCCATTCCTACATGGTTTTTCATGTAGATTCCAAATATGTGCTTAGATCTAGGAAAATAAAATTGCTTCTTTCAGCTACCCTTTGACCGAACCACTAGAGGACTTGAACCAAAAATCACAACTTTGCTTTAAAGCTTCCAACACTTGTTCCTTTTGGTTTACCCTACACCATTTCTTATTTTAAGCATCATGGAAGCCTTAAAACATTGAAAAACTCATCCTAGGGTTCAGTCAATAGCTTGGCCGAAAATAATACTCAAAGAAACAACCATGAAAAATGCTTTAAAACAACCTATAATCACTTGCAAACACTAGGAACTAGCTTGTGTTGTTGTGTTTTAACAAGTGTGCTGAACAAAACTCCCTTCCCCTCTAAATATTCAGTTCAGCCAGCATCAAAAGAGAGAGGAGACATATTTTTCAACCATAAAAGAGAAAGAAAACAAGGCAAGAACACATCTAGAGCCAAGAACTCACCTTAAACCTTGATTGTATGACCAAAGATGCAAGCTCTCTCTTGTTTTTCTCTCAAAGCTCTCTCTTTTCTCTCCCTTTCCTCCTTGGCCGAAACTTACACCTGAAAATAGGGGAGAGAAGAGCTTGTTTAGTGGTTCAAAATATCTCAACCACCATCTTTAATGAGAGTCCAAGTGTCATTACCCCCTTAATCTTGATTTCTCTTTCTTAATTAACAAAAATCCAAAAGAATTTAATTACCAAAGTCAAAATCCTCTCCATTTGAGGAGTGACACTTAGCAAGTTCAAATCCTCTCCATCAAGAGCTTGATACATGGCTCAATATGATCCCTTTGATTTCCAAGACACTAATCTTGCTTTATCAGTGTAATTTGGCTCTGAGTTTGACTTCTTTTCTATAATTACAGTAGCTTGGCCTCTGTAGTTATTTTCTGTCAGATCCTTAATTTAATCTCCTCATTTTTATCTTCCCAAATTGCCCTCTTTGCCTCAAAATTAATTTCATTAAAAAGGGAAATTAATTTCCTTCTCTTTAGGGATTTTTCCACTTTTCATCATTATTTGGAAAAATCTTGGATACTTGAGGGTCTTCATTTAATTCCATAATTCCTTATAATTCCTTGGGGTCTCATAGGAATTTTTCTTAGAATTTTATTCCCCTTAAAATATTTATTTATAATTTTCCAAATAAAATCCCTCAATTAGCCTAAATCACCCTTAAATTCTCTTATAAATTATCTAAGGGTAATTTGGTCATAAAACCAACTTTATAATTTCATATAACTCAAAGGATATTATCCTCATTTTTCCTTAATTTTCCAAGGCTTGGAAATATTTTTCCTTATTTAAATTTGACCAATTTTCCTTAATTAGTCAAATTTCTATGGTTGGCTTGGAAAATTTACTAGAATTATTTTCCACCAAAATTCTCCTTATTATTTTTAATCCTCAATAATTTGAGAATATTTCTTATTTCTAATTATCATAATGCTTGATGTGACATCAGCTGCCTAGAAGCGTAAGCCACTACCTTATTGTTTTGCATGAGCACACATCCCAAACCTTTTAGTGATGCATCAGTGTAAAGAACATACAGTACTTCGGGGGTTGGAAGAGTAAGCACCAGAGCTATAGTAACCTGGTCTACAACTCTTGGAACGTTGCTTCACATTCCTCCGTCCAAACAAACGGTTGGTCCTTTTTGGTTAACTTAGTCAATGGCATGACAATCTGAGAAAAGCCTTGAATGAATCTCCGATAGTAACTAGCTAATCCTACAAAACTCCACACCTCAGTTACTGATCTGGGAACCTCCCACTTTAGTACTGCGTCCACTTTGTTAGGATCCACTGCTATTCCCTAAGCAGATACAACGTAACCCAAGAACTTCACTTCTTTCAACCAGAACTCACACTTTGACAGTTTAGCATACAACTGATGGTCCCTTAAAATTTGTAGTGTGATGTGGAGATGCTCTCGACGTTCTTCCTCGCTCTTAGAATAAATTAGTATATCATCGATGAAGACTACCACAAATCTGTCCAAATAAGGTCAGAAGATCCGATTCATGTAGTCCATAAAGACGGCTGGAGTATTTGTGAGTCCAAAAGGCATCACCAAAAACTCATAGTGTCAGTAACAAGTTCAAAAGGTTGTTTTTAGGATGTCCTCTGCTCGTACCCTTAGCTGATGGTATCTTGACCTCAGATCAATCTTAGAGAAAACTGATGCTCCGATTAGAAGGTCTAACAAATCATCAATTCTAGGCAACGGGTACTTGTTCTTGATTGTGATCTTGTTTAATTGTCGGTAGTCAATACACAGCCTCAAGCTACCATCTTTCTTTCTCACAAACAACACCGGTGATCCCCATGGCAACACACTAGGTTGGATGAATCCTTTTTCTAATAATTCCTCAAGCTGCTTTTTTCAATTCAACCAATTCTGAAGGAGACATTTTATACTGAGCCTTTGAAATTAGGGTAGTTCCCAGAATCAATTCTATAGAGAATTCCACTTCCTGCTCTGGAGGTAGTGCTGCAACCTCATCTGGAAACACCTCTGGGTACTCCTTTACCACATCTATCTGCTCAATTCCACCTGCTTCACTCCTATTGATCGAGAAGAATACAATGAAGGCCTGACACCCCTTCTTCACCGCCTTATCCACTTGTGCAGCTGATAAAAGAACTGGGCCACCAAGCAACTCAGTACATAATACACCTACCCGAATAGTCACTAACCTCTATTTACAATCGAGAATTGCACCATTAGCCATCAACCAATTCATACTAAAAATCACGTCAATACCTTTCAGAGGTAGACAAAACAAATCTATTGTAGAATCTCGATTCTCAAAACAAAGTGCAAGCCTCAGACATGCCCTTCCAGTTATGATAATGACCCATGCAAGAGTAGATACTCTCAAATTGTATGGTAGCTCAACCATAGGCAAACTCAACTTCTGAGCACAATCCAACGAAATAAAGGAGTGCGTAGCACCCGAGTCAAATAAAGTAGAAATAACATGTCCTTGAAGTATGATGTTAGCTCGAATCAAATTTGGGGATGCAGAAGCCTCTTCATTTGTCATGGCATAAGCACGTCCTGAAATAATAGAATGGTTAGCTAGAGGTGTTGGCTGGCTCTTTGGGCAGTTTCTGGCAATATGTCCCCATCGGTGGCATCGAAAGCACTCCCAGTATTGCCCCGCATGCTTACCCCTATATCTGGGGCACAGTCCCGTAATATTCAGGGTGGTCACTGATGAATCTTGACGGGAGCCCTGTCCCCCTCCAGTTTGATTGTTTGGGTTCTAGAGCCTTTGCATAAAGCCCCTCTTAGCATTTGACCTCTAATTCTGCCCTTAATTTCTATTCCTCCCTGAGCTACCTGAGCTCCCAGAGTTGTATTGACTTCCTTTTCCCACTCCTCTAGTAGGCACAGGATAACGGGCTACTCTAGCTTGGTTCTCAACTCTCCTTACCTCTACCACCTCTTTTGTCCTTCTAGCTATAACTCGTAGCTTTACACATATCTCTTCAAAGGTATTAACCTCCAACAGGGCCAATTGTTGCTTCAACTCTGGCCTTGCACGATTCATCAACTATTGAGCTAACCAGAAATAGTGATCTTCTGCCTGCCTCGGCACATACTTGGCCAAATCAATAAATCTTGTAATAAACTGATCCTCATACAACTTGACGTGCTTCAAGGAGTAAAACAAGAACTGCTTTTCCATCCGTAACTCCTTCAGGAAGAAGTGATCGTAGAACATCTGTTTGAAGGTATCCCAATTCAGTTGAGATATATCTATGGCCCTTGCACTAATCCACCAGTGTCTCGCTTGTTCTACAAGGTAAGTGACCGCTACTTGCACTATCAGCGAAGGAAGATAAGGGACGGCAGTAAAGATTGTCTCCATCTGCTCAATCCATTTCTCTGCATCTGACGGTTCCAAACTTCCCTTGAATTGTGGAGGATCATGACAGCGCACCTCTCTCCATACCTTGGTGATGTCATTTAGTAGGGGAGGGTAGATCACTCCCCTAGAAGTATCTCTTCCCTATCTAACTTCTCGATAATCCTCCCTATGAGGTATGTCTCCAGCTTGGTCACCACCTCTAAGCCCCCTTTTGCCTTCTCCTCGTGTCTCCATAATCACCTCATTCCCTCAATCCTCCTGATTGACTGACTCTTGCTGCTTTCTCGTGAAGTCCTCTTTAAACTTTATTAATCTCTCGTCTACCACTGACGTCATCATCTCCCTCATTTGCTTCAAAAAGGCCTCATTCTCTTGAGGCGGCCTATTACTGGCTGGGTCTGTTTGACATGTCCGTACCATCCTTCCTCTTCCTAAATAAGGATGAAACCCTCATTAGTAAAGAAAAGAAAGGAAACACAAAACAACCAGGAAGGTATGTATGAAGTATGTATATTTCTACTAGGAAAAAAAACAAATTGTAAGGAAAAAGACTGGCTCTGAGATACCAATTTGTAAAACTCCTTCACTCAACACATAAAGAACTTAGCATATAACCCACTACTATGGTAGAAAAAGAAAACTGTTATACAAGCTACCATAGTAGAAAAGAAAACTTGTAAACCATTTTCAAAACTGACAGTTAAACTGTGGGTAGAAATCCAAACAAATTGCATGCAACCAAAGATCATTCATTCATCAATCAATCAGTTCATTCCATTGGGCCTCCGAGTTTCAAGCTCGGGTAACAAACGATATCATACATAAGCCCATCTACTTGTTTTTCAATAACATAAACCTAAGTATCATAAAACATTAGAATTGGCCTCCAGCCAACCAAATATGGAGATAAGACTTCCTCCATTTTACAATAATGCCATGTAATCAAAACATTTCCAAAATAACCCTACGTGTGGCAATATACAACTATCAATACATCTACACAAGCACAGAGACATTACTGCTACGAGTAGTTCAAGCCTCAGTGTCCCTTCTTGATGGCGTATGCCTAGAACCTTCACCTGAAAACATTATAACCACGGGTGACATAGAAGTCCCAGTAACCAACATTCCAATACAGAGTATAGATGAATAGGTGCTCGTGAGGTGTCAAGTGGGGGTCAGTTACATGTGAAACTATAAGTGATAGCTACAAAGAACCATGCAAGTGCAATGATGCAACCCATCAACATATCTCTTACTTTGGGGGATTTCAAAGAGTTGAACCTAGCCTATCCCTCACTATGGGGGATGTAAGGAGCCACAAGGGCCTATCCCTCACTATGGGGGACGTAAAGAGCCAACCATCATGCATTAATAGAGGCCTTACCATATAGTAGTAACAATGCAATCTCTCACCAATCCCAACACATGCATCATGCTCAAACATCTTTACTGAAGAGTAAATATACCATTCCACAAGTAATTTCAATCAATGGCATATCTTTCAGAAAATTCCCAATACATTCAGTATTGTACAAAAACCCCCACAAGACAACTCTCCCTTTTTTATATACAAAAAATACATTTAGAACACTAGTTATTACTCGACGCACAAAACATAAATCCACTCATAGTACCATAACAGCATGTATAAAGGATTGGAAAGTGGTTACCTCTCACCTAAGCAAGGAATAACAAAAACACCACGATGTCCCGTGCACCAACAAATACTCACGACAGGTCTACACAAGCACATAAACACATAACCACCATGTATCAGCTTTCAAACTAATAAAATGGTCAACACAATACTTGGGGACTCAAAATTCCTAGCCTCAACCAAAACTCTACCCAACTCACAAGGGCCAAAAGTGATCACAATAACACTCCAAAACCACAAGAGACCATTAATACCCTAGCTTCCCTTTCGAAACCTCAATCGAATTCAAAAACTCAAATCCCACTCTAGAAATTCATCACCCAAACATCCAATTAGAACAAATTCAAGTCCTACGAACATTTTAAACTGATTAAACATCCAAGTTAACCTTCCTTAACATAACCCAATTCACAAAACTCAATTTCAATCACTATATTATCATCCTCAATCATAAACCTCCATTTTCACAAACCCTAAATTCTCAAAACTTTCAAATCTCCAAATTCAAGAAAACTACACTGGTTAAATACTTAGACTAGCCCATAACAATCATTTAAGCTCAAAACAATCGGTCAAAAACCTTAATTTCATTAGAACTAGATAACCCTAGGATTCCTATATAAAATCCTCAAAAATCCCAAGAGAAAGAGCATATTAGAGGTTAGATTCACTTACTTGAGGTATTGGACCCTTAGAAACACCTTCTCTAAACCAAAACACCGAAATCCTAGCAGAGCCTCTCTCCCCTCCTTCAAATTTTCTAATTTTCGAATATCAGACCCCTCCTCTGGATTTAAAGACACGACCTTTTTGTCGCGGCGAACCTAGTAATTGGTCATGACTCACTAATCCCGAGAGGGATTTTCTAACCGAGAGACCCAAGTTCGTCGCGGCCAAAAATCGATTTTGTCGTGGCGATAACTTTTTCCTGAGAGGAACTCTTGCTCACCTGACACCTTTCATTGTGACTCCCCCTCAACTTAGTCGTGACGAAAACCTATTCCCGAAATGAAGCTCTCCCAAAACTCTCTGCTTCGTGGTGATGAAGTTTCACTTCATCACGGCGAACAAATCCTGAAAGGGATTTGTTCACCTACTCCTCCAAACCACTTTGATCCCAAACTAGACACCAAGATTCAAGTTTAAATACCAATTATCCTCAAAAAACAGGGTTAAAGGACTATTAAAACTCAGGATGTTACACTAGATGAGGTTGCAAATGACAAGAGCAATAAGTCAAATGACAAGAGTAGTGAGCGAAATAATAATTCTGTGATTGGGTTTCTCATGAAATTAGTTAAGTTTTATAAAAATTTGCTGTTATTTTCACATTTCACTGCCAAATGACAAGAGCAATGAGCCAAATGATAAGAATGGTAAGCGAAATAACAATTCTATGATTGAGTTTCTCATGAAATTAAGTTTTATGTAAAGTTGCCATTATTTTCACATTTTGCTGCTAAATAACAAGAGTAGTAAACTAGATGACAAGAGTGGTAAGCCAAATAACAAGTTTGATAAGCGAAATTACAAGTCTATAATTGAGTTTCTTCTTAACTTTAGAATATTAAATAGATCTACATGGTTACCATTTAGAACTGATAAATACAAAATGTTAACATTGTTTTGCCCATAAACAAAAGACCAATATTTCCATATCCTCATGTCATGTTGATGCCATCATAGTAACAATTTTGTAGTAACAACACTATCAAGTGAAGTTATAACAATAATAAGCCAAATAACAAAAAATTAGAGGTGCTTTGATAGTAACCAATTTTTACAAAATTCAGTGAATGCCTCTAACTACAAATATTGACATCAAATGGTTATGTGATTAGTAAAAATAGATGTTATCATGGCCTTACAACTAAAAGAATAGAAAACGGATGCACTTGTCATAGTTTCAAAAGCCAAATTTACAGCATGTTTTGCATCTGCTTCTAGAATAGCTTATAAGCCAATGCCTTTTTTTTTTTTTGATAAAGTAGAGGCATTGGCTTCTTTTCTTGTGATTTTGTAAGTAGTTGAGAGTAGCGATGGATAAGCCGTATTAGATAATATATTTTTTTTAGGACAGAGATAGGAAGCTAGTGAGAGTAAGGTGAAAACAATAACAGATTTAGAAACTCAAACATCTGAGGTTGCCGCTGGTGTCTCCACCTCCGATAAACTCACAAACACAAGATGAAATAAAATTGATCACCAAGAAGGTTTGTTAAACAACTCTTCAATGTAATAATCAACAAGGAGGTTTGTTATGGATCTTGTAGGAGAAGATTTAGGAGATTGTGGCTTGCCTTGAGGAAGCAGTTCTGCATCTTTTCTTTTCAGATTACTGATGGGCATTTTCGTATTTTCACTATTATTTCATATATGCAATTCAAAACTTGGTTTCTTGAGGCAATTAAGTTAATTTAGGAACTCATTTAGTGATTTCATATATTCGGGGTCTTTTTTTGTGGATTTTCCTTTTATTATTAGTATTTGAAGTTATTTTGAATTTAACTAAATAGAAATCAGTTGAGAAAGAAAAATAAACTATTCATATGATATGTAAGTATTTTTCCAAATGACATATTTAAGTATTGTAAATTAAATAAATGATACATGATATCTTAATTAATGTTGAGAAATTTTAACAATACATTCAATTTTACACTTTATTCTCAAAAAGTTTATTTTGAAGGATCCTCTATTTTTTGTGTTCCTTTTAATTATATGAGTTTGCTTATGAGAAGAAATCAAGCATGTGCAAATGATAATTATAATTTTAAGAAAATTTTATGAATGTTGGATTAATTCAAATATCATTTAATTCTTTAAGTTTTGAACATTTTGAAATAACATAAAAAATTGGATATCTATATTCTCTATTCTAATGTTAAGAGGTATGTTAATCATTAATTTTTAAAATAATGAACTATTGATCTTATAATTTAAATTAAATTAGTCTTGTAACATTTGTGAGAAAAATAAAAATCATATATTTATGTCACATTTGAATTGAGAAAATAGAAAGTTATTTAATTTTATAATAAAATTTATTATAAATAGTTGATACTGATTTTGATTGGTTGAACAAAATTTACAGCATGTATAAACTTTATATATATTATTAGTAGCAGTTTCACCCAAGAAGGGGGTGAATTGGGTGAGATATAAAAATATTGCGAATTTAAAACAATAAGCTAACGGAAACAGACAGTATGAGTAAGAAAGAGGATACAGAATTTATACTGGTTTGGTCTCAACCACTTGACCTACGTCCAGTCCTCAGAACACCTCTGAGTATTCCATTATGTTCCAAGATTAATCGGGCTCTTGGTGCTGCAGTATAGCAATTGATTCGGTCAATCACTCCCCCTTACTACCCGTAAGGTTACAATCCCTCTCAAGAGTCCACACTCTTGAGTTTCACACAGAACATGATTTACGATGATAGATACAAACTCTCTCACAGAGTAATTAAATGAACACTGAAGCTTGGTATATGCTAGAACAGAGTATTAAATGTAACAGTAAATAATTAGCATAGGGTAGCTCGCGTATTCAATTTGTTCATTTAATGCTTCTTCGTGCCTTTTATAGTTGAGGTAGTTTAATAACTGTTAGATGGAAGAGCTTCTAGTCGTTGAGAGTTCGGTTGCGTGTTTTCCCAATTGTAACGGTTCTCACCATTAATGCTTCTGACATGGTAGGTTACAGGCTACTAAGCAACCGTTAGAGAGCCATTGAGTTCTTCTTCATAATCTGCAATTTTAATTCAATAAGTTTCTCTTTGCAGAGTAAGACTTCGATCAGACCGAACAAATGATAAGATGAATATTCATAGTTTAAAATAGAATCAATCAGTTGCTAAATGTTTTGAACGATAACTGAACTTCCTTGATCGAAATAATGATTGGAACAATAACTAAACTTCCTTGATCGAAATAATGATTGATGACTGGTTGATCGATCAAGTTATCGGTTATTCAGAATGAGAACTTTTGACACAGGTAACTATGTTTACCGATCAAGTGATAGATCATTGATTTATTCAAGTGATCGATAAAAGGAAACGGTGACTTCATAAAGGTATGCAAAGAAAAGGAAGCTCAAGGTCTCTTTTGATTCTGAAACTCTTTAAATAGAGAATTAAAACATACATGAAGGCTGAGAAAAGCTCAAATGAAATAGACATTATATTTTGAGAATCATCGCAATTGATTGAAGTTTTACTGAAATCAGTCCATGATTAAACAAGTGATTGAACACTTGTTGATCGATTAGGTTATCAGTAAACAAAGTGATATGGAAATAGATTTTCAAGGAATAATGATCGAACACTTTATCGATAAATAGATGATAGATAAACGTATTGATAAACGATAAAGAAAAATATATTCAGTAAAAACACAGACTAAGTAAATTATCGAATAAATGATCGATTAAGGAATGATCGATCAAGTGATCGATAAAATAGAACAAAGAGACTTAGTCCTGTAAAGACAAGGAACAGATTTATCGATCAAGTTATGTGAAAAACAGAGCATACACGTAAATGGGTGATTGATCACATTATCGATAATTGGATTATCGATCAGGTGATCGAAAAACTATAATTTAAAGACAAGATACCGATGATCGATCATTTGATCGATAATTCACTAATCGATCAAGTGATCGATAAGCCACAAGGATAACAACCTACATATTGAGTGGGTTATAAAGTAGTGTTTGATCATGCTATTGAAAAATCACTAATTGATAAAGTGATCGATAAATGGTGATTAAGACAAAACAAAAAGTGAATAGAGTGCTTTACCATTTATCTGTCTTTTCATTGATGACCCATTTATCGATTATGTGATCGATAATTCCTTACCAGACTTGTGTCCTATTATCTGACAGTTATTCGATCATTTGATTATCGATTAATTGATCGATAATTTTCTGCAGACTTTTATACATAACTGAGTTAACAATAATCGATCAATTGATCGATCAATATATTATCTATCAAGTTATCGATCAATGTTTCTGCTTAGTTACTTGTTTGTACAGAAATATTATCTATCAAGTTATCGATAATCCTTTGATCGATCAAGTGATTGATCAACACAGATTCCTTAACTTGTTATCATCAAAACCGTAATTCTAACATATATATATATATATATATATATATTACAATTTAAATCTATAATACTCATAACTATTTATTATTATGTATTATGATGTTATTAAAATGAATTTGTCTCCTCATTTCTTTCAAATTACATAGTTCCTGAAGAACTATGTGTAAACATATTAATATAGTTCCTGAAGAACTAATACATTTTTTTAATGGGTAGACAATATGACTCATTGATCTACATCATCACTTGTTACAATAAACTAAAAGTTTACTCACCCAATTAGATTTATAATTGGTGTGACTTGTTTGATCGACAAATTATTATGATTATGTATTGACATCCATTGAAGAATCAAAAGATTCTTCATGAATAGCCAACATATCATATGATCCAAGAATTCATATGCTACTTATTCTCGAAGAAAAATTGATTATGTTGATATCACTAGTTATAATGTGGAATAGACCTCTACATTTATGAAAATATATCAAATTCAGTATATGGGCCCCTCCAGATAGCATGTAAACCATACAAGTATTCCATAAATTTGATAGATGTATCTATAATATGGTTACATATGTTATTGTTAGATTGCAACCTAAAGTTTGCAAGACTAATTGATATATGTTGAGTGTACATTTTCAGAAAAATATGATCTAGAAAATTTCTATGGCAAACACTAGTGAGTTTGTATCTCAACTTTTCAATGATCATTGTATTTTTATTAGTAAAATGTGTGAAAAGCTCGGTTTCAGAATGATCTAGCAAAATAATTTATTAAAGCTTCCATGAGTAGCTAGATCGATACTTTTGAGAACAAGATCTTCATTTTAGCATTGGTATATTTGATTTGATATTTTACAGCATTTATACACATTAAGCTAATAAAATTCCCAATAAAATTAGCTTTTGGTTAGGAGCCAAATATTTCCATCTTGAAAGTTTAAATGCGCAATATTTCTTACTATTAGCCTACTACAATGTATATAAATAGATATTTAAAGAAATTTGGGATGAATGATGTTAGGGAGAATCTCATTTTTGTCTCTAAATAAAATGAAAGGATGTTTCTAAATGAAACAAATGAATTTAAGAGACTTATATTGTCACATCCCAAGAATTTTACCTGGCTATAGAAGATTAAAAATTGGGATGATGATCAATGTAGGAAGTAGATGGGAAGATAAAACAACTTTTGATATAAAACCTTGATAAGGTTCGAGCTAACATTTTCGCAATGATCGTTTTAGGAAGGGCAAAACAGAAAAATTTGAAAAAAATTCTATAAAATTCCCAAAAATGGGAAAAGAGTGAATTAGAGGTTTTGAAAACTTGGTTGAGGCTCGAAAGGTAGAATTACAGTGGAAATAAATTGTTACATTTTTCAGAAAAATATTAGAAAATCATAGAAAATAATTATTTTAAGTAATTAGAGGCCTCAATAAATTTGGTTAGGAGCCAAATATTTCCATCTTGAAAGTTTAAATGCGCAATATTTCTTACTATTAGCCTACTACAATGTATATAAATAGATATTTAAAGAAATTTGGGATGAATGATGTTAGGGAAGAATCTCATTTTTGTCTCTAAATAAAATGAAAGGATGTTTCTAAATGAAACAAATGAATTTAAGAGACTTATATTGTCACATCCCAAGAATTTTTACCTGGCTATAGAAGATTAAAAATTGGGATGATGATCAATGTAGGAAGTAGATGGGAAGATAAAACAACTTTTGATATAAAACCTTGATAAGGTTCGAGCTAACATTTTCGCAATGATCGTTTTAGGAAGGGCAAAACAGAAAAATTTGAAAAAAATTCTATAAAATTCCCAAAAATGGGAAAAGAGTGAATTAGAGGTTTTGAAAACTTGGTTGAGGCTCGAAAGGTAGAATTACAGTGGAAATAAATTGTTACATTTTTCAGAAAAATATTAGAAAATCATAGAAAAATAATTATTTTAAGTAATTAGAGGCCTCAATAAATTTGGGAGAAAGATGGATAATTCATATAAATATTTATTTGAATTTATAAAATTGGTTTTAGGCTTGGAAGTTCAGGAATTAATTCTATGGAATTTATTTTCTCGCAGATTTACCGATAAAGCCCTAATCGGAGAAAATTCAAAATAAATATCTAGAGGTGGTGAAAAATTTTGAAAATATCCAGATTATATTCTCATATTAAAAGGTGAATTATTATGGAGATAAATGAATTTTTGGAGGTTTGAAAAAAATTATGGAAGGTTACTAGTGAATAATAACCGATAAAGTTTTAAATTGGTTTGAGATAGTAATTTGGTTTCTTTTTAGACCATCCCAAACCTTTTGTGGGGCCCACATTGAGCCCAATAAGAGCTCAATTTTGTGCAGCTTCTAGATCCCTCTATTTTTATTAAATAAAATGTGAAATTAAGGGAGAATTTTGTGGAAAAATCTAGAGAAAAGCCACATGGTGAGATCTAAAAGTTTGAGACACTTGATGACTGCCACATACACCCATTGAAGTGTCTAATTTCATCCAAATACAGAGGGGTAAGGGCAGATGGAATTTTTCTATAAATACCCTCTTGGAAAATACAAAAAAATGTTAGAAAAATAGAAAAACAAGGGGAGGTTCTGCCGTTTTTCTTCCAACACCAACCAACTGAAATTTCTAAGTGCTTTGGGTAGGAATCACTCAGTTTTTATTAAGGGAACATCAAGGTATGTCTGAGCCTCCTTATCTCTAAGTTCTACACTATTTTGGTTGAGGTTTTTAGCTTGAAAAATTAAGGAAAATACTGCCAAAATTTTGCTGGACCTTGTGATTCTTAGGGAAGGGTAGAAACCTTAATAATCAAGTGGAATAAGAAAGATTAAGTTGTGTATGGTTGAGTTTTTGAAAGAAAATCAAAGTTAGGTTATAGGGGAGAGGTTCAGCCAAACCAAGTTCATGCAGGAGTTGATTGTTTTGGCTTGATTTAATGATTTCAATGGCTTTAAAACATGTTTTTGTGTAGAGATATGTTGTTGGAAAGTATTTAAAATCATTGGAATCAAAAATAGAATTTTTAGAACTTATAACCCCCCATTCGGCTAGTTATTGTTCATGGGGGAGGAGTTTGAATTTTAAAAACCTGATTGCACCATTGGAGTCCTCATGAAAAATTGTGTAGGATTGACCAATGAGGTTATTGATCTAAAGGAGGAATCATATGGTTAAAAATCAAAGAAAAAGGGAGGAATTATTGAGTTAAAGTTTAAGAATTGTGTTTAAGTTGTTTAGGGATTAATATAGCCTATGTTTATACTTGATTTAATAGGCATTGTAAGAAGGAACCAAGAGGAAGCCTTGCTCTTGAAGTAACCAATTGGACAAGTATTAAAAAGGTAGTTTCGAATTATAATTTAATTGTTAATCTTGCTTGTTTAATGTGATTTGTTGTTTGCTTGGATGGAGAAACTTGTGTTGTGGCATGGATTGGTTGAATAACATTTGTTTATACTTTGGCCAAATACATTGAATTATGCCATTGTGGAAGTGTTGATGTTCCTATTTTAGCATGGCATTAAGCATGATTTTATGTGATTGATTACGCCTTGAGGTATGGTAACATACCACATGATAACTTGCTTGATTTACATGATAATTGTAATTCAAATGCTACTGAGATTTCATAGAAATCTCATTCCCCTATGTTAAGTTATGTTTCAAATAGGAAATGATTCATCGGCAGGGCAAGAAAATGATTTTGGGATAGAGGAGCATTATGGAATTGATGCTATTATATTATGTTGTGTAATGTATTAATGAACTTTATGTTAAGAATGTAATGGATTATGAATGATATGTGATGTAAATTATGTTTGTATGACATGCCTAAATGTTAGAATATTGAACGGTACAATGTCAAAAGAGTGTAGGAAAAAAAAAAGAGAAAAATGGGAGATAATTAAAGAAAGTAGCATTAGGGGATAAAATCTCCCTAAAAGAGGCCAAATTTGTGGCACATTAAATAATGAGCAATTGTTGAAATTTGGGTATGAAATTTTACAAGCTTATAGATCTCATTTTTATCTTTAAATCAAGCGGTAAACCATTAAATTTGGAGTTTTGTGCTAAAAGCTATACTATTCCAAAATTGGACAAAAATACTGAAAATTAGAAAATTGACCAAATAAACAGTGCAATTTATCAATTTTTCTGGTGCTTTTCTAGATGGAATTGAGTCTAATGAGTATTTTTCATCTATAGAACTCTTAGCAAGTTTCGTGTGAAAATTAGAACCACCTTGTTTTGATTTTTCTAGAATTAGTTATGAAAAGTTGGCCTATTTTCGGATGAATTATGTATGGACAGAATTAAGGGTAAAATTTTAAAGTTAAAATTTTTCATCTGGAAACGCTGCGAAACATGTTATAATGGTTTCAATTGACGTATAAGGGGTTATAAAGAGAGGTGTGACATATATTACATGATTATTTGATTGTCATTTGACAAAGTTTTCTCAATATGAAGGGAAGAAATTAAATAGCTGAAAAAGATAACATATAGAATGCATTATTATTATCATCAAGTATAGGTCTTCAAATATATGGTAGTATGAATCAGTACTAACTGGAAGAAAAAACCAAAAGAAGTTCAAATACCTAAAGAGTAATAAAGAAATCTTAATAAATTATGACACACAAAAAAATAATACCGAAAAGATAAAGTTGTCGACAATATTTTTAATGATAAGATCACATGATTAAAATGAGGATCTTATATGTAGATATGTCATATAAAGTAGATAGAAATTTGGCCAAAAGAAAAAATAAAATAAAAAGACGCAATGAAAATATTATTTCAAAATGTGAAAATTGAGGACCTGCAATCTGAGCATATGAAATACAAAGTTATTATGTGATGATATATAAACACTGTGTTACAATAAAAAAAATTTCATAGAGGTCTGATGATGATTATAATGAGGTATGTTGTTTTGTGGTGGTTGCAATAATTTTCGTATATATTACTAGTTCGGCAATATATGAAAAACAAAATATGCGTCTATTAAATATTGTTATAGCCTATGCATGCGCCTCATTAAAGTATGAAGTTTACATTAAAAATTTTGAATTATTTAAAATGCTAGAAGCATATACAAGAAAATCATTCAATATCTGAAATGTTATGTCAATTAAAATAATATGAGTATATATCTTTGACTCAGAAAATGGGAATGAAAAATTTTACGTTTCACTTTACCAGATCAAGTTATTGAATGCCACAATGATTTTAAACCATAATTTTGCTATGGTGATTTTATCCATGAAATATATTGATAAAGTATATTAAATTAACGAACTTAAAATCCTATATATTTGTTCTATGATTATATTTAAATATTTTATTGGTGCTGCATATTGTGACTAAGTTTTTGTAGAGATGCAAGTGAAAAGTGAGATTGAGATTTGATATGATAGTTCTACGAAACCATTATACAAGATCATTTTGTTTAAAATAAACTAATTATGTGGATACAATATATATCATGATATTTTCAAGATAACTTTTTGTTTGTTTTTTCATAGTACAAAAGGCAAGTGGAAATACCTTGATAACTGAACATATCCAGAAGATATGTTGGAGGAATATATTTAAAAACAGTGTATGATGACAATGCATCTGCATAGTTCAGCAAAAAAGAATATATGCTCAAAAGCATTAGAAAAATCCATCAGAAAAAGTAGTATATTATACTGAGATGAAATGATGAAAGTATACTATCATCAGGGGGAGTAAAAGTGATATTTTCACTCGAGAGAATAATGATCATATTGTACTTTTTCTTTAACCAACGTTTGGTTCCACAGGGTTTTCCTGCTAAGGTTTTTAATGATGAAGCTTCACTATATTATGTACTCTTTTCCCTTCACTAGACTTTTGTTCCATTGATTTTTTTTTCCTAATACGGTTTTAATGAGGCAAATTATTTGTTTATGGACATCCAAGAAAAAGTCTTATAAATATTGCAATATTAAGTGTAGATATCTATAACCTTCTAATAGTTGTCTTTTGGGGTTCCTCACTTAAAGTCTATAACCCACAACATGAATGACTTCTTAGGAGTTTTTATGATTAATACTAATAACTTTCAAATGTTACATTATATATCCTATAATTATGTAGATTTATTCTTATTACAACTCTTGAAAAGATATTAAGGACTTGTGACCTACAAATAGTGTGTATGTATCAAGTGATTGCAAGCTTAAAATTAATTAAAGATTACTCCCTATGCCTCTTCCAATTTCTCTCTTATATATATATTCTCCATCTCTCTCATCTCAATCCCATGTATTTCTTTTATTTACAACAAGTTTGGTTTTAAGATTTAATTGAAAGTTTTTAATCCCACTTCTTTAATTTTTTAAATTTAGCTCACTGATTTTATTTTCCTCTCCCCTCTCATCAATGAGTTCTCTTAACGTTGCAAGCATACCACGTCGTTCAGGATCCTCTCATTTAAATAAGCCCATTAAATAGTGTTCAGACCCAAAATGTTGCTACTCATCCATCTTTGGTTCTCGATGAGCCTGGCTTGAGAGCACACAAGTAACTCAACTCAAGCTCAGAAACGGTAACTCAAAAGGCCCATCTTTCCTTCCTCGCTCTTCCCTCCTCTCCGTCGACTCCGAACGGCCGGACTCCCACTGAACTCGTGGCGGCATTGCACGGTGACTCCTCTATTCACGGTAAGCATCTTCTTCTGTCTCAATACCCAATTTGCAGCATATTTGAAACGCTCAAGAGATTGGTAATGATTCGTCGCGTTTTGAATTGGATCCTATGACTTCGATATGGAAATAAATCATAGTTGATAGGATCAGATACATAACTGGATCCCTTCCTTTGAACTACTTCTCATTGCTTACCTTCTGGATCTGAGAGCCCTTCTAGGATCTCTTGTCGATGGATATCGAAAAAAAGTGTGATTGGGGTTCATATTGGAGTTGATCGTGTTTTTGGAATGTGAATTTGTGTTCTATTTTCCCCCGAAACATTGGAGTTCAATGTATGTTTTTGTAACGGTTTTAACTGAATATATGGCTGCATTGCATCCTATCATGATCATTCCATGATTCCCGATTTTTTTCTCTGCTAAAGACATTATTTGTTAATTCCAAATTGCAGTAGTTGGCATGTCATTCTAGTGAATTGCCCTGTTATGAGATTGGCGTCCTCCAAAGATAAAAATGCATCACCTTAGGGGCCGGTGCATCTCAAAGAAGCATGGAAATAGACTTTAGCGATTGCAGTATAATGCTTCATATATGGAAATACCGTCGCTCATAGCGTATTTCATATTTTAGATTAGGTCCACGGTTCCTTAATGATATGATCCTATCCACTCCACCTGTAAATTTATTGGAAAGCAATACTTTGAGAGTATATGCCTGACTACTTAATTCCCACCCCCTCCTCCCTTTTTAATCTTCACTTGACAGTGCTTTTATCATGACCTTCATTTATTGTTCAAATTTCATGGTCTTGTACTTTTTTAGACTGCAGTTTTGCTTAGTGGGTTGACTCTTGCACATCATAACAAAGTGGATGGGATGTTATGGAGTTTTGTTAGAAAATACGACTGGTAAATCGTGAAAGGCAATAAGAAGATGGCTCCACCTAGCAAGGCTGACAAGAAAGCAGCTGTTGATGCAGCTGCATGGATGTTCAATGTTGTCACTTCTGTTGGAATAATCATTGTAAATAAAGCTTTGATGGCCACTTACGGCTTCAGTTTTGGTAAGTTCTCTTTCAACTTTCTTTACAACACCCTGTTTATGGTCGAAGTTTGCCTTTAATTTGTTGATATATCAACATGCTCCTATAGTAAATTTACTATGATTTTTTTTTTTTTTATTTTAAAATATTGCTTGCCTACATTGCCTGCAGCTACAACTTTAACTGGTCTGCACTTTGTCACTACAACTCTGATGACCGCCATACTCAAGTGGCTGGGATACATCCAACCCTCTCATCTACCTGTCTCAGAACTTCTGAAATTTGTTCTCTTTGCTAACTTCTCTATTGTTGGAATGAACGTTAGTCTAATGTGGAACTCAGTTGGATTCTATCAAGTGAGTTGGCCTGAGTTTTAAACGCTGGTTCCTTAATGGCTTCAGAAGTTATGTTGACTTTTTAACCATTGGCAGATTGCAAAGTTGAGTATGATCCCAGTATCTTGCCTATTGGAAGTTGTTTTTGATAAGATGCGCTACTCAAGAGACACAAAACTGAGCATAGGTCTTGTACTATTGGGTGTTGGTGTATGCACTGTTACTGATGTCAGTGTTAACGCAAAAGGATTCATTGCTGCTTTTATAGCAGTGTGGAGCACATCTCTGCAACAATATGTATGTACTACATTCTTTTGCATGATGGATATCACGTCTCTTCAAACCTAGGAGGCAGAATTGAGTAGAATGCAGGCTCATTCAAACATAATAAATGACAAATAACTGGATGAAGTTTGATATGATATCTTTCTGGATATAACTGTTTCATTAGACCCAAAAGAAGTCTTTGCCTATAACGCTATAAATGTAGTTTCTTCACATCACAATATCAATATATCATAGCATTTTTGTTTTTAATCTGTTATCCCTGCTCTGTTAATTGGTGTTAAAGGTGCCTAAATCTGAATTACTTCTGATATATAACATTTTTTTCTAACTGTTTTTACTGATAGACGTTCAACTCTTTCATGTGCAGTATGTTCACTTTCTTCAACGGAAGTATTCATTAAGTTCATTCAGCCTATTGGGACACACAGCTCCTGCACAGGCTGGATCACTACTGTTATTAGGCCCCTTTCTAGATTATTGGTTGACAAACGAAAGAGTTGATAGATACAACTATGACATAGGCTCTTTGGTAAGTGATATTTCACAGTAAGATATGCATATTATTAATAAATAATTGAGCATAAGAGATCATGGCTTTTCACCATTCGCTATGTGCATACTGCCTACATTGTAGCTCAATGGAATATTTACATATTTGAAAATGAAACGAGACATGACCTTTTTATTCAATATTAATCTTTAATTTTTTAATTTTTCACCAATGGGCTATGAATAAAAAATGATTTTGATAACAAAAAAATGACTTTTGTGTTCCTATCTACATATATAATCTTATAGGAGTTTCTTGGGTTTCATGTGATACATGGAATCCAAACCCACTTGTTTTAAAAATAATAGACAGAGATGGTTTAAAGCGTATCAAATAATAATTCCAAGGATATGGTATACATTGTTTTTTTTCCCCCTCAAAAGAAAGAATCGCTTTCTTACCCAACAAAGGGGATCGCTAACTACCTCAATTCCTTTTGGCAGTTGTTCATATTTCTGTCATGTAGCATTGCAGTTGGGACCAACCTCAGTCAATTTATCTGCATAGGCAGATTTACTGCTGTTTCTTTTCAAGTACTGGGTCACATGAAGACAATACTTGTTTTGGTCTTGGGATTCATCTTCTTTGGGAAGGAGGGTCTCAATCTACAAGTGGTTCTGGGGATGGTTATAGCTGTGGCTGGAATGATTTGGTATGGCAATGCCTCATCGAAGCCTGGTGGAAAGGAGCGCCGAAGTCACTCCCTCCCTACAAACAAAACAGGAACATAGTTTGATAAAATCCACTGGATTTGGTGGGTAATTCGTCAGTTTTCTTTTTAAAAGCTGAGAATACACGAAGGTCGATTTTTCTAGGAAAGTACTTTGATTATCTGAGACTGAACCAACCATTGGTTTTAATTATTTTAACTTCATTTTGTAATTCTTATAGTTTAATTTCATGTTCTAGATCAAGAGGGGCAAGTGGATATATCCTCATAGGATTAGGTTCCTTGCAAAATGCTCATTGCTTCATTATCAAAAGAATATATTTACATTGTTTCTTGACCAATTTTTGTAATTTAGTCTGTTCTGATGGTTTTGTCCACTTGGAACTCATGAAATAGTTTTGTCAATTCATGAATGAATTCAAGCATATGAATTTATCATGCAGGTGCAGATTTTGTTACGCTGATTCTGTCATATTTGCTTTTGTATTATTTTTAGTATTCTGGTTTATTGTACGTGATTAAATAATTAATTCCACTATAACTTTCAAAAGTAGAAAAAGGAAAAATAATTAAACAAAATTCTTTTTCTGATTTGAACTTTTTAGTGAGAAACCGACAATCAATATTTTATAGAATTATCGGTATAATATTAAAAAGTAAAAAATTAAACTGTTAAAATTTAATTTTAACAATTCAGAAAATTTGATTAATATTGAAAAAACAACAAATGATTAAATATATTATTTATTTTGAAGTTTTATGGCAAATATGGATGGTTTAGATTTAGAGCCTGTTTGGCAGGGCTTTTATGGGCTGAAAAGTAGTTTATTTTTGTTACAAGCCCGATTGGAAAATTGCTTGGTATTTGTTGGGCTTAAATCCAAAATGAGCCTATTTAATTTAAGCTGGCAAACCTATGTTGTGGGAGAAGTTACTGGATCTGGCTTATTAGATCAGCAATTGGAGCTTATTTACTGTTGTGATGTGTCACACTTTATTTTTCTCTGAGTTCAGCCATCCCTAATTTTAAGGTCACTGGTGTTGGAGAGACCGAAGCGGAACAAAACAAGGTGCGTGAAGGGCTTGGGTGTTCAGCCAAAATGCCAGGATACATTTTTATTAGCATTCTTTCTTAATAAAAAAATGTAAAGTTGTAAAAACACGCACCATGTGAGAATGAAATATCACAATAAAAATGACTGATAGTTTATGATAAAATTAATAGAATGTGATTGCCCGATTTATTCATGTAAAATTTTCATTTACTTTTTGAATAAAATTGACACTTTATAAAAAAAAAGTAATATAAACAATAAATAAATAATCATAAATATTAAAAATTAATTAAATTACATATTTGTAATAAATATGTCTTGTTTTCTCTCAAGTTATATATAGCTAATAGAGATATTTTAAGAAAAAAATTATAAATTTAAGAGACAAAATAGATTAAGGTATTATATTTAAAATCAAAATAAGCTTTTTATTATAAATATTTTTTATGATTTCTCTAAATTTTTAAAATTTAATTCACTCATTAAATTTGACTTCTTCATATTAAATTATTTTAATTTCATTATATTATGTGAAATTAATTTTTTCAGTCATGTTTCATTATTTATTAAAACTCATACCCATTTTGGTCATTTTACAATCAAACTTATTTTTATTCAACCATAATCCAAACAATCTTTTACCAATCTCACTTTTTCAAACTAATTTTTCTGAACTTTAATTCAAATACAATTTAGCTTTTAGTCAACTTTACTTTTTCATAAGCCAAATTGATAATAAGCTACTTTTTCAATCGCTAATCCAAACAGACTCTCAATGTGGTTCATATTCAAAACAGTTATAATTGTTATTAAAAAAACATTTAAGACTAACAATTTTGAATTTAAGGAATCAAAAATCTATTTTTTAAAATTAAGAGATTAAATTAAAATTTTATATAAAATTAAAAGACTATGTATACTTATACCTGATTTATATCTAAAAATTGGATTTCACAATGAGCTTGTAATGGATGGGTCTGGCCATGATGAAGGGTAGATCCATTTTTTACCAGAGCAGGTCTTCTTTTTTTTTTTTTTAAACAAATGACAATTCCTTAATAATAACCAAAAAAAAATAATGAGAGTTGGGTTTAGTGGAAAATGATAGTCCCTCACAATATAGTGAAACAAAGTTTGAATCTCTATTTAAAGAAGTGCAAAATTTTTGTACTTAGCAAATAAAAAGAGAGACACTGCCTCCAGTCCTTAATATAAGATCCTATTTGATTTTTATTTTGATCCTAAATATAAGACCCCAACCCACTTTGTCTCTTATATTTACTTAATTTTTTCCAAGATAGTCCTTCTAATAATTATAATTCTAGTCAATACACTTGATTAGCAAGGATATTTTAGGAAAGACAACACCTATTTAGGACAAATAACTAACTCAACTTACTTCCTTAATCTCCTCAAATTAGTCAACTGGCTCTTATAATTAGGACCGGAGATAGTACAACATAATAAATCCCGTGGGATGCAAGATACAGCAAGAAGTGGGGAGTTTAATTTAATGAAATTAAAAATAGGGAGAGTTTAACTAAAATATCTTGTGAGGAACTTGATTTTAGTTTGCTCAATTGAATTAGGCAAAAGTTATCCAAGTCACAAGAGACTTTAATGAAATTATAAGTTATATTTAAAAAAAAACATGTATATAGTTGGGTTTTAATTTCTTTACCCTTGAAGGATAACAAACCTATGATTCGAACTTTCGGGCTAAGGTTTGCCAACTAATTACGCTAACAAATACCTTAACAATATATAAGGCAATTAAAATTATATATATGTATGTAAGTACTTTTATAATTTCTTATTATAATTTACAACTATAGAAAATTCACAACTATGTTATATATCTAATTTATAACCAGCTTTTTTTTTTTTTACAAGTGAGAATTATAATCTAAATTTGATTTATATAAACCAATTAAACAGCCCCTTCACATATAGGAACATACTAACTTTTACACGAGAATGTAGAGACATTCATATTTATTATTTTTGCAAAGTATTACACATATATAAAGATTACATATGTTTTTTTCTCACAAGTATCTCTTGTAAGAATTCACAGATAATATATATTATAATTTTTTTTTGTGGCATAAAGTTGAAGAGGTATAGCATACATAAGATGAAATTAAAGCTTATTTGAGTATTGTGTGAAACACTATTTATTTATTTCATTCCCTTCTTGATTAAGGCTGCCACCCCATCATATGCTTTGGCCCATGCATTGTTCAGGTCTTCACTCCATTTTGCTCCTGCTGCTTCCTTTACTGTTTTTAACAGTGCCTCTTTCACCACCTAATGTAATTCAAATCACTTTAATTTCAGTCAGAGCTTACAAAACCCCAAAAAAAAAAAAAAGGTTAAAGTTTAATTTTGTCTCAAAGGTTTTCCATAAGAGTTATGGGTTTTCGGAAGGTTTTCTTTTTTATTAATATGACATTGAAAGTGTTAGAAAAGGAGTGAAATTACCCTAACAGTTAACAAATTAATATTAACCGTTTATATTTTTAATGGCTAAGGGCGATATTGATCCTCTTTAACACTTCTGAGGTGATACTGATTTTTTTTTTTTTAAAAAAAAAAGCTTTTCAATACCCAAAACAGCTAAGCAAAAAATTTCTGAGACAGAATTGGACCTTAACTATTATTAAAAAAAAACAGAGAGAGAAATTTTTAATTATATTTTGTTTAAATTTATTGGTTTCTGTTACCTCAAAATGGGCATCCATGACTCCTTTCTGGACATGAACAGAGCTTAATTGCTTCAGTGTTGGATCTGCTATCATAACCTCTCCTTTCTCTCTGAGTTGAATTGCTGATTCAAAAGTCTATAATTTCCAAATCACAAGCATTCACACATTTATGATGATAGTAATATTTGGCATTATGAGAAAAGCTAAACACAGTGTTAAAGTAGCTTAGGAGGTTTGTTCTTGATTAATACCATTAATTCATTTTATATATAATTGTATTATTTTTTCCAGGTTTATATATATATATATATATTGGGGCAATTCGAAAGAATTTTCTCATTGACAAAGTATCTTCCTTTTTATAATTTAAGCAATCAACAGAAGTAAATTTACGAAGGACAAGGATAAGGAATGGTTTATTCTTTCAATTTTTCTTGCAGATCATGCTATATATAATAAAGAGTAAACTAGCATCTAACACCTTATTATTATCTTTCAGTTATGTCCCGTATCCTAATTTCTTTTACGATGCATCTAGTACCCTAATGTTATGTTAAACCGCAAATAATATTAAAATGCTGGATGTAATTGGAAAATAATATCAAGTGTGATAGATGCACCAAAAAAATCATATTAGGATACTGGATGCATCATAAATAAGATTAGAGCGTTTGGATGTTACTGGAAAATAAAATGAGAGTATTATATGCTATTTTACCCTATAATAAATTGATAAGAAGACCTTTGATTGAGTTGAATGATTTGGCATTTGTATGAGCTTACCAACTTAAAAACCTTCAAGGCTTGGGCTTCTAGCTGAGGATTATTTTTGGGAACTTCACTTGAACCTTTCAAGAAAGGGAACAAGTCTTTCACCGCGGGTGCAGTTTGCACTAGCCTATATTAGACCCAAGAAAAGCTGATAAAAGAGAGAATATATGTATATATGTTTGTACCAAAACAAGAACATACATATAGGCCAATAGAGAATAAGTGAAAAGGAATTAGAGGTTGGGAGAAATAATTGAAGGGAGTTGTGAATGGCAGTAAAGAATAATTACTGGCTGAAGAAATAAAAGCTGTATTCAGGAAAATTTTTGGTCAAATCCTCCCATGAGCTTTTGATCAAAGCCTCTTCCTTTTCACCGAAGCCAGCCATTGATGATCTTTAATTTGCTTTAATTATATGTGATATTCACAAAACACAGATAACTTAGGGTGAAGAGTAATTCTATATATAAGATGTGAATTGAAAGAGATGTGAAAAGAAATTTTAAAATATCTTTTAAATAGAATGGCATTTATGCGCATTAGTGACTGCTAGAAAGCCAAGATTAGCTAATTAGGTCATGCAATTATCAAACTTTGGGAATGAAAAGCTGGTTCACTACATAATATTCTCAAAGGTCACAATTCTATCTGCGAAGACTTAGTTTATTATCTAAGGGCCAATGAATTTGAAAGCAAGGTAAATATGAATTAAGAGTAATAAAAGAGAAAACATTGGCTTTTTGATATCATCCAATGGTCATGCTTTGGAATAAGAATATTATGGGTAAATCAAATTAGAAAGAGTGAAATTCACAAACCTTCCCTTTTTAATAAACGCACATAAATCTTGCCACACGCTCCCTCCATAATTAATTACTTGAAGATTTGTCATGGTAAAGAAAAC